ATGGGGACATTACTGAGGGGGATATATGTACTGAGGGGATATATGTACTGAGGGGGACATGTACTGAGGGGGATATATGTACTGAGGGGGATATATGTACTGAGGGGGATATATGTACTGATGGGGATATATGTACTGATGGGGATATATGTACTGAGGGGGACATTACTGAGGGGGATATATATACTGATGGGGATATATGTACTGAGGGGGACATTACTGAGGGGGATATATGTACTGAGGGGATATATGTACTGAGGGGATATATGAACTGAGGGGATATATGTACTGAGGGGGACATTACTGAGGGGGATATATGTACTGATGGGGATATATGTACTGATGGGGATATATGTACTGAGGGGGATATTACTGAGGGGGATATATATACTGATGGGGATATATGTACTGAGGGGGACATGTACTGAGGGGGATATATGTACTGAGGGGGATATATGTACTGAGGGGGATATATGTACTGAGGGGGATATGTACTGAGGGGGATATATGTACTGATGGGGATATATATGAGGGGGACATGGATGGGGATATATGTACTGAGGGGGACATGTACTGAGGGGGATATATGTACTGAGGGGGATATATGAACTGAGGGGATATATGTACTGAGGGGATATATGAACTGAGGGGATATATGTACTGAGGAAGACTTGTACATGTTGAGGAGAAGACTGGTACTGAGAGGGACTATACACATATGTAGAGGGGTATATATGTAGGGGGACATTCATATTGAAATGGACACATACATATAGGGTGACATGTAATGAGGGGACATGAACTGTAATACCTGTAATACTGGGGTATTTCAAGGGACACATAATGAAGATGATACTTAGATGTAAACTGAAGGGAACATGTGAGTGAGGTATACTGACAGGAACAATGACTAGATAGTTTGATGTCAAGGACATGGTCCACTTATGCTCAATGATGCAAAAGGTGTATGAGACCCGTTATTTAGTGTGATGAATTAATACCAGATGACTTTACCTAGAGGCGATAGAGTTACACAGCAGTCATCACCAGAATTCCATGATGATTTGAAGGTCAAGGTCAGCATAGGGTTACGACAAAGTACACAATTTATTGTACATCTGTTATAGTCCCTTATTACCAATTTGTGTCTCCTCATTACTAATAGTCCCTTATTACCAATTTGTGTCTCCTCATTACTAATAGTCATTTATTACCAATTTGTGTCTCCTCATTACTAATAGTCCCTTATTACCAATTTGTGTCTCCTCATTACTAATAGTCCCTTATTACCAATTTGTGTCTCCTCATTACTAATAGTCCCTTATTACCAATTTGTGTCTCCTCATTACTAATAGTCCCTTATTACCAATTTGTGTCTCCTCATTACTAATAGTCCCTTATTACCAATTTGTGTCTCCTCATTACTAATAGTCCCTTATTACCAATTTGTGTCTCCTCATTACTAATAGTCCCTTATTACCAATTTGTGTCTCCTCATTACTAATAGTCCCTTATTACCAATTTGTGTCTCCTCATTACTAATAGTCCCTTATTACCAATTTGTGTCTCCTCATTACTAAGTTACGTAAATATTTTAGAACTTTACTTCTATTAACAGCAGTTTTGATAGCTTATCAGCAGTATGACAAGGAATCAACGGTTATTTTAAATGTCTTATTCCTATGTCATTTTAGAGGAGTGGGGACAGTATGTTGATGTCTCTTTACACATTTGGCCACGTTACATAGGTGTTCTTTTCAGACAGGTGGTCACTTCTGACATGTGGTCTCTTATTGGGGGGTCACATGTCTTGACACAGATGGTATCTTAACTCATGTATAGTCTCATTACACTGATGATTTGTTAGTGAAGGTTGTCTCTTAAAACACCTGGTCTCTTAATACAAGTCATCTCTAAACACAGATGGTCTTTTATCACAGGTTGTCTCTTAAAACACCTGGTCTCTTAATACAAGTCATCTCTAAACACAGATGGTCTTTTATCACAGGTTGTCTCTTAAAACACCTGGTCTCTTAATACAAGTCATCTCTAAACACAGATGGTCTTTTATCACAGGTTGTCTCTTAAAACACCTGGTCTCTTAATACAAGTCATCTCTAAACACAGATGGTCTTTTATCACAGGTTGTCTCTTAAAACACCTGGTCTCTTAATACAAGTCATCTCTAAACACAGATGGTCTTTTATCACAGGTTGTCTCTTAAAACACCTGGTCTCTTAATACAAGTCATCTCTAAACACAGATGGTCTTTTATCACAGGTTGTCTCTTAAAACACCTGGTCTCTTAATACAAGTCATCTCTAAACACAGATGGTCTTTTATCACAGGTTGTCTCTTAAAACACCTGGTCTCTTAATACAAGTCATCTCTAAACACAGATGGTCTTTTATCACAGGTTGTCTCTTAAAACACCTGGTCTCTTAATACAAGTCATCTGTAAACACAGATGGTCTTTTATCACAGGTTGTCTCTTAAAACACCTGGTCTCTTAATACAAGTCATCTCTAAACACAGATGGTCTTTTATCACAGGTTGTCTCTTAAAACACCTGGTCTCTTAATACAAGTCATCTCTAAACACAGATGGTCTTTTATCACAGGTTGTCTCTTAAAACACCTGGTCTCTTAATACAAGTCATCTCTAAACACAGATGGTCTTTTATCACAGGTTGTCTCTTAAAACATCTGGTCTCTTAATACAAGTCATCTCTAAATACAGATGGTCTTTTATCACATGTTGTCTCTTAAAACACCTGGTCTCTTGATACAAGTCATCTCTAAACACAGATGGTCTTTTATCACAGGTTGTCTCTTAAAACACCTGGTCTCTTGATACAAGTCATCTCTAAACACAGATGGTCTTTTATCACAGATTGTCTCTTAAAACACCTGGTCTCTTAATACAAGTCATCTCTAAACACAGATGGTCTTTTATCACAGGTTGTCTCTTAAAACACCTGGTCTCTTAATATAATACAAGTCATCTCTAAACACAGATGGTCTTTTATCACAGGTTGTCTCTTAAAACACCTGGTCTCTTAATACAAGTCATCTCTAAACACAGATGGTCTTTTATCACAGGTTGTCTTTTAAAACACCTGATCTCTTAATACAACTCATTTTTAAACGCAGCTGGTCTCTTAACTTAGGCTGTCTAATAACATTGGTAGTCTCTTTTCACAAGTTTTCATCACACAAACCATCACTTTACACATGAAGTCCCTTCTTTCAGGAAGTAATAAGGATAACAACAATAAAAAAACAAGCCTGAAGTTGTATTGACTTGAAAGTGTTTTAAATTGGTCATATCATCACAATAAGAACCCAAATGAATGTTGATGCCAAAAACTTGGTAGTGTTATACCATGTATAACTGAAATGTAAGCTTATGAAGAATTTTGCCCTAAAATAACAACCTGAAAATTGGGTTAGTTTTCAGACTTCTTCCTGTGATTTGGATAGACCTTATACAAAAATTGAATATCATTATGTCAATGAATTGTTATAGGTCATGCTACTCACTTCTCACAGATGGTCTCTTAACACCAGTGATCTTTTAACAGGGGTGGATTCTTAAAATAAGAGATGGTTTCATCACATTGATAGTCTCTTTACAGAGCTGGTCTCTTATGATACCTTAACAGCTGATGACCCACATCTATTTATGTACTGTATTATTAGCTGACCTGCCAGTTAACCTAAAGAAAAAGCACCAATTGCTATTAGGAATTGATTGGTGAAACATGTCCTGGGCATTATTTATAGAATAACCTATGTAAGTCCATGCATGGTCCAGTATACCAAATATAGTACATATCAATTGTGGCACTGTTAAGGAGTCGTGCTACTCTCTAAATGTAGCTGGAGTTGTCATGATTCCTTTAAGGAAATGCTTGCATGGGGTATGTAGCTTTTCATCTCCCAAAGTTAAAGGCCAAGGTCACCTGCTATAAATAGAAAATCAGTTTCCATGTGAAAACTAGCATTTGCTTTGGCCAATCTAACCCAAACTTAATACAGTACTTCCTTACTGAAAGTGTTTGCTTGAGATTGCTTTACAGCTTTAAAAGTCAAAGGTCAAGGTCACTGTTATCATAAATGAAAAAAATCAGTTTTCCCTGCAATAACTCAAGTTTGCTTTGGCCAATCAATCTCAAACCTCATACAATGCTTTCTTATGAAAATGACTTGCTTTGGATTTCTTTTCAGGTCTCAGGGTCAATGGTCCAGATTACTGTTACTCTAAGTAGAAAATTGGTTTCTGTGATATAACTTGGGTTCCCTTGTGCCAATCAAACTCAAACTTCATACAAGGTTTTCTTACTGAAAGTGCTTGCTAGGAATGACTTTGAAGACCCAGAAGTCAAAGTTTGAGGTTTTTGTTGTTATAATGGAAAACACATTTTGTGGAATAACCAAGAGTTTGCTGTAGGGGGAAAGAGGGGGAAGAACAATTTCCAACCATATAGCTGGGCCCTTGCTGACCTGTTAGTGTCCTAGTTTTGGATACAAACACTCTGGCTAAGGAGTCGTACTAAAACCTTAAAAGATCTTTTTAAATTCACTAAGGAAGCTGCCCTTGGTCCTTATTTGTACCCATTGATCATTGGATTTTGGGACAGATCAGAAATAACAAAATCGCCAGTAGACAGCCATCTTAGATTTAGCAGGTAGAGATTATTATCACAATTTCTTGGAGTAATTTTATTTTTCACAAATTAAGAGGAATAGCCGAGGAAAGAAGAGAAAAGCAGGGGAAAGTTTTACAGTAAAATAACTCTGTACGATATCATAATTTTACTTTAGATTAAGCTCTGTTACTTTTATACCAGAAGTTTAACCATTATTTAAAAATCATTGAGTTCCTTTCTTTTGTGTCATCAGTTTTTGTACATCTTTTAAAACTCATCCTTGAACTACTATACTTCATTGGTTATAATGATTTACAATGCTATAAGCTTCTGACTGTTGTTTTTTCAGAATGTGTGCCCCCTGATTGTACTGGTCAGACACAACCAATGCCTGCGGAAGACTACACACATGCACAAGTCCAGTCCCAGACACACTTAGACCTCATGGAGGAGGATAAACCCCTCATACCCGGGGTCACTGTCCGGGCTGCCACTCCCGAACGATTGGTCCACCTCTGTGTAGAGAGCTTTGGTAAGGGATGGTTACCTAAACATTCTTACATTGCCACATAAACATATTTACATTGTCACATAAACAACATGCTTACATTGTCACAACATGCTTACATTGTCACATAAACAACATGTTTACATTGTCACAACATGCTTACATTGTCACATAAATAACATGCTTACATTGTCACATAAAAAACATGCTTACATTGTCACAACATGCTTACATTGTCACATAAACAACATGCTTACATTGTCACAACATGCTTACATTGTCACAACATGTTTAGATTGTCACATAAACAACATGTTGACATTGTCGCGTAAACAACATGCTGACCATGGCACATAAACAACATGTTTGCATTGTCACGTAAACAACATGCTTAAATTGTCACAAAGATATTCACATCAACTACCAGCTAGCAACAGAGAAAAGAATTTCTGTCAGTTTGCTTATTATTTTGAATTGATGAATGTCACTGTTTTTTACTTTTATACATAAAGAAAATTTAAAGGAAAAATATAGTGATGCATTGTACTTCTTTTTTCACAAGCAACTCTGCAACAAATTTGTTGGCCCAAATTAAATCTCACATAGGGTTGTTAAAAGTGAAAAACATCATGATGGAAGAACCGGTCACTAGGCCATTGTTGACATGTATCTCTATTCAGAAACACGAAATCACCACATTTCCTTTTGTATTCTGTGTGGTATTATGGCCAGGCCTGGCGACAAAAATTAATTACATTGTGTCAGGAACATTTGAAGGTATTCCAGTCAAGCACTCCACTGATTTATGAGTGTGACATCTGTACCTGTGATGGTATTATAGGATAAAGGATGATAAGCAATGATATCTATAATGTTTCACAATTAATACACAGTTTTATAGCAGAAGTCTAAATTGGTTGTAGAATTGTGATGCCTGTATTAATTGTTTATACCTATATTCCTTGTTTACCTATCAATGATGCAATAACCTGGAAGATGTGTTTATTGTGTACCATGACATCCCTTGTACACATATCCTCGTACTTCACTAAACCTGTAGGTCCCACGCCTGTGATTGGTCAGACACACCATGGTTACACAGGAAATTAGCCTACAGTGTATCTGTGTTACAACATCCATTTGGTATTTCCTAGTTGTTCATAATTGAGATCAAACATAATTGAATTTTTGTGTTACTTGGTCAGTGTTGACCTATATATGAGGCCATTGATGTATAAATTGGTCAATTCTAAGTAAACCTGACCAGATCACCTTTATGTGCAATGTCAAAGTTTTTGTTTTCCACATCAAATAAATATTTATCTTATTAATCCTACTGTTCAAATTTTTGACATTTTTCATCAATCATCATCATCGTTATCATCACACGGTTATAGATTCTTGTGGTTTGAATTGTTATGGTCAGCTTAATTTCAAAACGAATGTGTGGGACAGGCGAGGAAAAATGTTCCTAGTCCCATTGCAACACACTGTAAAGTGAGCTGACAGGGTCCTGCATGGATAATGAACTTCTCAGGCTTTTTTCTATGAGCATACTAGACACTTTATCAATGGTCCCAACACTATACACCAAAGTGTTGACTGATCAGTCATTATTTATCTTTCTATCTGGAGAATTGCCACATGGATTCTTCCCGAATGTCATTTGTAGGTTCCCCTTGGTCCCCTGTTTTGCCCTTTTGATTTTGGGGCTGATCAGGAAATCAAAATGGTTGAAATGTTTTTTCAGAAGCACTGGATGGGTCTTTCTCAAATTTCATATGGAGGTCCTCCTTTGTCATTATTTGTACCATTTGGATTTTGGGACTGATGGGAAAAATCAAATGGCTGACAGGTGGCCATCTTGAATTTTGAATAAGGAAAGTTGGTGTCACTTTTTTGGGAAGTACTGGAGAGATCTTTCTCAGATTTAGTTGTGCTGGTTTGATATTGGGACTGATCAGAAAAACAAAGCAAACAAAAAAAGAGGAAAGAAGGGAAAGGATCCAACTTTTAAAGACAAGTACATACCAAATAATATGAATACCTGGGATGATGAGTTAAAAATACTTAGTCTTTAGCCAAAATATCACTCTCTTGATGTTCACCAGATGGCAGGCTGTTCGTATGGCATCCATGTTCTGTGCACTGACAGGTCCATCTGTCATCTGTCCTTAAATTATTTTTGTTATTGCTATTTCTCAAGGAGTAATCAATAGATCTCTCTCAAACTTCATTTGTAATTATTTGTAAGTTCCCTTTAGTTTCTAGTTGTACCCTTTTGATTTTGGGGTTGATAAGAAAAATAAAATGGCTGATAAGTGGCAATCTTGGATTTCGAGTGTCAAGGTCATTGTCACTATTTCTTGAGAAGTACTTGATGGATCTATATAAATTTCATTGGTAAGTTCTTCTTGACCTACAGTTTTGTCATATTGAATTTGGGGTTGATCAGAAAAGCAAAATGGCTGTCAGGTGGCCATCATGGATTTAAACAACGAAAGTCTCCGGTTCTGGAGATGTACTGGTAGTAAATTCTGTTTCTGAAGATGTACTGAAAGTACATGGATCTTTCTCAAATTTCATTTGTAGTTCTCCATTTTCCTTGTTTCGCATTGTTGGATATGGGGCTGATATAACATGGCCGATTGGCGGCCTTTGTTGATTTTGACAGAAAATATTTGTTCTAGCTATTTCTCAGAAAGGACAATAGAGTTCATTCTGAAATTGAAGCTGTATTTCAATGTGCATTGTACATTTTGGAACTACACAATAAGTTAGAGGCCAACAAGTCAACTTGGATTTGACAGTTAAAGATTTATGATCGTTATTTGTTGAGAGATATTCTCATACTTCATATAAATATTAAGAGCAGAAGAACTTAATTTCACAGCTGAAACTAAATCCTTTTCATTTTGTTTATATTTAGGGAAGGATGGACGCTTGCTGGAAGACAATGAATTCCCGAGTGTCCTGTTCCTCATGCACAAATGGTTTATGACATCAGACGAGATGGCCGAGGCTTATGTGGACCTGTATCCTTATACACATCTTTGTCCATTACATGTTTACATTCTCATTCATTTCTCCCCTATCTTTAGGTTCAAAGTTTTCAACCTTATGCCTGCGAGTATGAATAACCTCTGACAAAAATATTTACATGCATTCAGTTGACAATTTTGACATCAAGGCAATCTGTACTGACTCCCAGTAAGTTGTAATGTTGCTGTGAATTGGTAAGGTATGTAAACAGAAGTGTAAAATTTGACAGAAATGCTTCTGTGTTAAGCATTTATCTCAAACTTTGACTTCCAAACATCGATGTTTAAATTATATTCACATTGAAAGACAAAGGAGTATGAATGTGCATGCACACATGTATTAATTCACTTAGAAATTCATGTATTCACAAGTCTTTAGAGGTGAATTTGTGAAAGTATTCATGAAATCAGAGTGATTTACAGTAGCTTACTTTGACTTATTGTTTTATGTATTTGTAATGGCTGCCAATTATTCCATCGACACAGCAACACATGTACCTGTGTGATCCATTTTTCAACGTAAGATCATTCAGTTCTAAAACAGTATCATCAATTGACTTGTTATTTCTGGACTGGTATTTACACCTATATTGTGTGGGAAGCTTTAGTAGTTCAATGCTTTTTCTCTGTGACATTTTCTTGGACCTCAAATTATGACGGAGAAGCTCTCAAACTAATACTACTTAATACATGGCATTCTTTAGTGTAGTTTTTTTACCTATAGTACTTTCAGAACTTTGATTGAATTTTTCTTTGTCAGTTTGGATTGAACGTAAAAACACAGTCATTTACATGCTGTTAGCTGAATCATTTGAGAGAAAAGTGCTGTGTCAGCCTGTGAGATCGCAACATTATGTATGCAGCTGACTTGTTAAACTTTCATTACTGAAAACTATACAACAAAATAAAATACTCAATACTTCTTTGAATGACAAGCATAATATTAAATAGCAAACCGTTCATTAATATGAGGCCTTTAACGGTCACCTTGAGATAGAAGGTATCATAGCACAAAATTGAAACTGACTTAAGTATAAACTATTGATAAAAATTTAATCCTTTCCCAGGGGGAACTCCAGACCTTGGGATCATGATTTTAATAATATTGGTAAAGCACTTTAATACATTTATATCAATGAAAAGTTTTGGAATCTACCATATTTGGGTCTTTAGAAGAAATGGTTTTGAAAATTTGATCAATTTGTCCTATTTCAGGGCCTGTATGCACAGTGAACTACTATCCCAAACTTGTAATCAAGTCTGCGTTATATCCAATAGCAACCAAACCAATTATCCTGAAAACATCTATTTCCTTATACAAACTAGAGTAAACTTTACACTCTCCCCAAGGGGAATTGTGAAGCCCACAGATAATGGAATTCTAATATTTGGTAAAATACCTTAAGACCCTTCCATTCTTGAAGAGCACTGGAATCTACCATATTTGAGTGTTGAGAAGAAGATTTTTGAAATTTGAATCAGTGGGACTCTTTTTGCCCTGCCCCTGAGGCCCCTGGGGGATGGAGACCATATAATCCACAATTTTGAGTTACCTTTAGCCAGAGAAGTTTCTGTGAAATGGTTAAGAGGTTTTAAAGCAAAGTCAAAAATGTAAACAATTTGCCCATGTACAAGGCATGACAGGCAACACCAGATAAAACAGGATCACAATAGGTCACCTGTTATAGAAAACAGAACAGTAAACAACAGCTGGACATCAGCTGTAATTGTGATAACAGAAATCAGCATCATATCTATGTCATATCATGACCATTATTCACCTAAATAAAGCCTTGTCTGATGTAAAATGTCAAATGTTGTTATGAAACTAGAATATTTCTAACAATCTCCACATTTCATCAATCACAACAAAGACAACCAGGATTCAGGACTTAACTAAATATACATGGAGCATCTAGTAATGGTTATTTTTTGAAAATATTGGTTACTGATCAATTATGGTGGCAACCACTAAATGTCACGTCGATTAATGTTGCTTTCCAGTTAAAATCGTTGTTTTCTTGAAAAACCAATTTCCCCCCCAAATATTCTATGTAATTCAATATGTAATAATGTCAATTTATTTCATGTGGGAATGCTTAATATCACACAGGTAAATCACAGGTAAGTGAGGACAAGAACTATGGATTCATGTCCCATATGTCACACCTGGACGTAAACATTGTCACTGGCAAACATTTCACAACTCACCACTCCCAAACAATAGATTGTCTACAGTCCAGCTAGGTCAAAGGAAGTCTGTAGGGTTTATTTTTTTAAATGGCTGATTGGTTTTAAACCTTTTGTCACATGGAACTTGTCACGTTGGTTAGGCCATGTGCAAGTTGGCACCATTTCACTAAGTTTTCTGATAATGCTGCCCAGACTACCAGAGATTTGGTATGCATACAGGATCAATTTTAAAAGATCTGATGAGAAAATAATCAAATATGAACTGTAATCAATGATAAATTGTGTTTATTTTGTTTCTTTTTACAATATGACTCATGGGACACCAAACCAGAGCAGGTCAATGTAGTCACCTTTCCCAAACAATTTACAATTCGTTCAGGATACATTACAAAGGTACGAAAAGAAAATTAAAGATCCTTTTTTTGTCTTATAGGAATGTTGACATTTTTACTTTTCTTTCAATCATTTATTACTTAAATTACTGTAAGCACCAGTAAGATGGTAGTAAAATGTTCTCAAACTGGGTTTTCCACATGCCGTGTTTCATGACATCTGATTAGCCATTAAAAATAAACACTAATATAACGGCCAATGAAACACGGTGTATCAAAGGTGAATAGTTCATCACTGATAACTACTTTTGTCAACAAATGTATAATGAATGGGCTGCTCTGATCATATTTTATCAAACTTGTGGAGATAAACATGTATATATATCAACTATGCAATGAGACCCTATAATGAACAATAATGAATAAACAAATAATGCAGTGAAATATCAGCTGATGACACCGTACTATTGTGTAGGAATCTTCCCACCTGTAAACTAGAATATGACGTATGATCACTCATGAAGATGTATGATAGCAGGTTCGATATTTAAAAGAATAAACAAACCAGGTGAAGGAAAATCATTGTGAATATGGAAAAAACAAAGCAGATTACAAATTTTAGTCTTCAGACAAGTTCTGTAAGAAAAAAGTCAGTTTTGCCAATCAGAAAGTTACGAGGACTGATGGATAAGTTGTGATCCTTGTATTGAAGAAGTTTAGGAAAGATGTCCTTTTTCAGCTCTACTATTCCCTCACAGTTTATGTTGAAGAAGTAGCACTCTGAAAGTAAAAGGCAAGTGACTAATGGTAGCAACACTAGGCAATGATGCCCTTTCATGTACTATAGTGAAAAGGTGGGTGGCAAAACTAAGTGTGGCAGGCAGAGCCTTGGGGATAACGCCCTTCCAGGAAGGCCCGTCACTGTTCCAACTCCAGAAATGGTCAGTTAAATCCATGATATTGTTATGGCTGACAGGCGAGTTATATAGAGATATATAGGGCGTACAGTGGGGTTTCACAGGAAAGAGTACAATCCATTCTTATGGAAAATCTTGTAATGAGAAAGCTCTCCACCCATTGGGTACCAAGACTTGTGACAGTTGATCTGAAGCACAGGCAGACTTTATTGCTTGCTAATCTGAACCATTCATAGGCAGATACTGCTAACGTTCTACTGAGATTTGTGACTGTGGATCGAACGTGGGTCCATCATTTCACCTCAGGACAAAGAACAGTCGAAACAATGGAAGCACCCTGATTCACCCCACCAAAGACTGTTCCATCAGCTAAAAAGGTTATAGCCTTGGTTTTCTGGGGTGCAGATGGTATTCTGATGGTAGATTATCTGCAAAAGGGACAAACAATCAATTATGAGGCTTAAAACTTATCAATCCTAACTTCCAGGTTTAGATGTCCAAACAAAATGTCTACTGTTATCACATTTTCTTCTGACAAATGGAATATGGTATTAAACCATTTCCACTGTATATAAAAGGTCTATTACAAGCCATATACCCCATGATATATAAACCAATAGATGTTATACCCCATGATATATAAACCAATAGATATATAATCTAAACCAATAGATGTTATACCATGATATCTAAACCATGATATATAAACCAATAGATGTTATACCCCATGATATCTAAACCAATAGATGTTATACCCCATGATATATAAACCAATAGATGTTATACCCCATGATATATAAACCAATAGATGTTATACCCCATGATATATAAACCAAGAGATGTTATACCCCATGATATATAAACCAATAGATGTTATACCCCATGATATCTAAACCAATAGATGTTATACCCCATGATATCTAAACCAATAGATGTTATACCCCATGATATATAAACCAATAGATGTTATACCCCATGATATCTAAACCAATAGATGTTATACCCCATGATATATAAACCAATAGATGTTATACCCCATGATATCTATACAACAAACTTGTGATGGTAATGAACTTGAAGTGCCTTTATAGGGTAGGCTGATAAACAGGTTGAAGTAGTACACACTTGTACAATGGACAGTGATTCACATAAAACCTCTTACAACACTCATTCATTAGCCAGGAAATACACTTGTGTTGGTGGCCAACTTCTGGTCAAATTTCACCAACTGCAGTACTGTATCTGCAGTTACGTAAAAAGTTTACGCAATGAATAGGTTGTACAGTTATATCACAAAAAATCAGTGACTAAAGCAGCTCATTTTAACACAGGTTTACAATTGTTTCCCCAGCCTGAGAGCTTTTGTTATTAGTAAGTTGATAGTGACAGAATACAGTCTGATGAACTGAGTGTTAACTTCAAATTCCTGTGAATACACTATAGATTAACCAGGCTCCCGAGTGTCATTGGTTCACACAATACATCAAAATCAAAGTACTCCAAGTACTGAAGGTCTAAAACAGAGAATGTATTAAATAGTGTTATTTTGTGAGTAGCAAGTTCCTCCTACATAATTGACCGTCCCAGAATAGTTCACAGAGAAAAAAAAACATTTGATATTTTTTTAGCGTTCCACACGGTAAACACAGGAATATGATATTAAACCATTTCCACTGTATATAAAAGGTCTATTACAAGCCATATACCCCATGATATCTAAACCAATAGATGTTATACCCCATGATATCTAAACCAATAGATGTTATACCCCATGATATCTAAACCAATAGATGTTATACCATGATATATAAACCATGATATCATGATATATAAACCAATAGATGTTATACCCCATGATATATAAACCAATAGATGTTATACCCCATGATATATAAACCAATAGATGTTATACCCCATGATATATAAACCAATAGATGTTATACCCTATGATATATAAACCAATAGATGTTATACCATTTAGAAATAACAAATCTACTGAAGATACTGTTTCAATACTGAATTATATTAAGTTCCAAAAAGAATTACCTATTTGTTACTCTGTCTATATTTGTGGCAGACATTTGCAAATTCCAATAAATTAAAGTTGATCTACAAATCTGAAGCATATACAAGGTATATTACCCTAAACACTTCTGTCATTTTTCACTTTCCCCAAAGTACAGCTGACATTTTACGACACTGACCATGTATTCTCAATTAATATACAGGCCATCAAAAACTGAATTAAATGGAATTGTTTTGCTAAGGTAGTCTTTAAATGTAATGCCTTTCTTGGAAATTACTGTTAAATAGCAGAATTTCTGGCATATTTATACAAAGTGTGTATATGTCAATACATTGCTGACAAAATTACTGTTTGGAAATTAAAGGTTTGTCCTTCAGGCCCCAGGGGTAGGCCAGTCTGTAAACTTACATGCAGTCAAGCTATCTGATTGCTAATTCTGATCAGCTCTGAATTATTTTTCTTTGAAAATGGAAACAATAAACACTACCCAAAAGTGTTAATTTCCCATATGAACTATCATTAAATTTACCCACTCCTTACTGGAAAATTGGAGGCCCAAGATGTCTATTTAAATTAATTTTCATGGACCATCTTGCGAATTTTGGATCTGTAAAATTGTTTTTTAGCTCACCTGACCCAAAGGACCAGTCAGCTTATGCCATACCATGGATGATGTGGGTTGAAGTGTAATACCTGGGTCAGTGGGATGATGTAGGCTGAAGTGTAGTACCGGGGTTGGTGGGATGATGTAGGTTGAAGTGTAATACATTGGTCACAAGGATAATCTAGGTTGAAGTGAAATACGTTGGTCATCACAACGATGTAGGTTGAAGTGAAATATGTTGGTCATCACAATGATGTAGGTTGAAGTGAAATATGTTGGTCAGTGGGATGATGTAGGTTGAAGTGTATGTAGTACCTGGGTCAGTGGGATGATGTAGGTTGAAGTGTAATATGTTGGTCAGTGGGATGATGTAGGTTGAAGTGTAATACCTGGGTCAGTGGGATGATGTAGGTTGAAGTGTAATACCTGGGTCAGTAGGATGATGTAGTTTGAAGTGAAATACGTTGGTCAGCTCAATGATGTAGGTTGAAGTGAAATACGTTGGTCAGCTCAATGATGTAGGTTGAAGTGTAGTACCTGGGTCAGTGGGATGATGTAGGTTGAAGTGTAATACCTGGGTCAGTAGGATGATGTAGGTTGAAGTGAAATACGTTGGTCAGCACAATGATGTAGGTTGAAGTGTGAATTTGCTAGTCAGTAAGATGCATCTGTAAGAAAAATTCGTGTGAATTTTCACATAATCACAGCTTATAACTGTGACTAATTATATAGTATTATTACAAAAAGATATGTCGGTCACTCATGCTAGCTGGTATGTTAGAGTGGTGTATCAGGAACATGAGTTTCTCCCCTAACGGATATCCTTGACTCTCAGCCTCAGTTATCAGAGCTGTAACGAGACTGTGGCGTGTACAAAGCCAGCCTGTAACCACCGCCCTTCCAGCGTAGATTGTCAAATTCAGATTTACAAAGCCAAAATTTGCTATGCAGTCAGGTAAGTGTACTCATAATATTATTTTTTCTGTTAATTCTACAAAGTTGTTTGAGAAATTGTTTGATGAAACATTTGAAATGCCCTATAGTTCTGAGTTTTGTGCCCTTACTGTGAATTGTGATAAAATTTTCATGTCTATATGTTTTAATCGAAACCTTTTTTTTCACTTTTTAATTATTTCTGACACGTATCATTAAAATCTGTTCTTCATTTATAGCCAAGACTGCTTTTCTAACTATCATTGTGTTCTTCTGATCTTATGACCTATAATTTGCATAATAAATGTAATTATATTTCTTAAGTCTTAATTTGAAATTAGTCCTATGTACAAACCCTTATGAAAGAATGTTAGCACAAAGTTTCGTCTGTATAGGTTATCTGACCTGACCAGTTAGGATGACCTCATACTGTCTCGCCCATTGCTGTATATACAATGCTTAAAATTTTTCTCATATTTTATCAAACTTTTTCTCATGTTCCACCAGTGGTATTTAACTGAAACTTGCCTGGAATGATCCCAAAATGATCCTGACCAATTTTTGTCGTTTTTGGATTTGTCAGAAATCCAATATGGTCGCCATTGACACCATTTGGAAAAAAAACAACACTTTTTTAAACATAAATTATTTTCCAGTTACACCAATGAGTTCCAGATTGATTAAGATGTAGATGGAGACTTCTCATTTTTCAGCCTTGCCAAAATTCGGACATGTTAGCCATGACACCAACTTGTAACATGATTATGCAATCAATGTTTTTCTAAATAACACTTATTTCAAACTTCTCTTCAGGTTCTGCTATTAGGAGTAAGCTCAAACTTAATCAAAACTCTGACCATCAGATATGTTGATGATACTTTTCAGGTTGGTCCAAAATCCAACATGACCATCATTTTGGGAAGCACATTTTAGGCTTCTCAAGTTCCACTAGTGACATTGAGCAGAAAATATGTGGAAGAATTGAAATAATGAAAGTGTTGTTTTTTATGCCCCATCATTTTATGGTTAGATGCAAAAGTGTTACTGTTGTCCGTCATTCTGTCATAATTTCACTCTCATTTACTCATTAACAGACACAGATATAGACCTATAACTTGGTATATAGTTGTATAATGATAAAATATGGGTCAAATTCTGATTAATGACTGTTTGACTTTTAAGACATACTCGTCTGAGAGGCAAAAAAATTCCAGTATAAGTATCTAACTATTTTTCTGACGATGATTTTTTGGAAAGTTTGATTTTAAAAAGTAGATTAAAAGGAAAAAAAAACAATATGCTGCTGCACAACTTTTCCCGCTTCAGGCATCAGAATATGTGTAACAGGAAATAATTAATTTTCATATACTCTTATATTTTTCCTGAATAATAGACACCCTTTGTTATTTTCACTGCACCATTTTTCTAAACAAATCTTTGTCTTTTAATAACAAAGTAAGGGAATGATACTTACATATTCAGAAAAAAAGTTTTCATTTGATTTAACAAGCTTTAAACTTAGCAACCAAAAAATAAAAGTGTTCCAAGATGTTAAAAATCTTTTAATCGACCATCTGCTAGCATTAGACTTTTTGAAGACTTTCAGTGTAGATAGAGAAATTTTCGATGATACTTTCATGATTTTGAAAAAGGAGGTCTCAGTGCTTTATTTGTTGTGATTTTTACCAAAATAGCCAGATTTTCCAAGATCAAGAAACCAGCTGAAATATTTATTTTCGGGTTTTAAAATTAAAGTATTGTAATCTGATGACTGTTTAAGCCCTTTGATCTCTTCTGTCCTTCTATATCTAGAAGTCAGTTATTACAAATGTACTATTATCATGATGGAAAACAAAGACAATGCTTTCATTTAAAAGTCAATGATGCAAGCTTCTCACATAGAAGTTACTTGTCATCAGCTGATTACGTCCACACACTGGCCATCTTACTTTGTTCTTTAACCTTAGGAACATCAGTTATATATTGAACTTCACCATCTGTTGCCATTTCACAAATGAAAGTTCAGCCTTACAAATTCTGTTGCGGAGACATTATTGTGACGTCAAGTCATGGCTATTTCCAGGTGCTGGCTTAAACAGAAATAGAACAACTGTAATGAATGCCTCGTTAAAATGTGAGATTTATGAAAATATCATCTGAATTGATGGGATTGTGTTACATTGACGCAAGAGCCTTTATAGATTTTACACTTTGGCGACATCGCAGAAGATAATGTCAGTATTGAAATTGATTACACAGCATGCATGTGTGACGCTACTTGAGAGTGACTAGTGACATCTTGTGGACTAGTTCATTGTCAACACTCATTTGATGAGTAGTCACTTGATTCTTGTTAAGATGACCATGAAGAACACGTCTTGTGTGTTTGTTTCAGGTATTTTCCTGGCCAAACATTTTAGTTGTCAATAAAAAGCAGAATAACCAGGATACATACTGGTGGCATAAGATAAATACTTGTTTTATGCCTGATCTCCAAACATTGTCCCTCGCTTCCAGAGTGTACCACCCCTTATCCTGTACGACCTGTATTCATGGACATCAGTACTATAGTATATGATCAATATATTGATGTGTCGTTGGTCAGGAAGATTCCTCATCATTTAGTTCAATACTGTTGAAACTCATTTGTCAAGTGCTGCAATGCATTTGTTTGAAAGATTTTTTTCATCAGAAAGGGATGTATCTGTGAATAGTTCAATAAAAAAATACTCCCTTTTAACAGATAGAAATATTTCCTTACAACCTTATTTATTTTTTTTATGTAACAGTAATTATCACAGCAATCTTATGTCATACAAGTTATTTTTTATTGTTTTGTTTAGATTTGTTGTGTTGGTGGAGTTTCCTGATACAATCAAATGTACCTTTACCATGTATAAATAACAATATGTGGCTCTCCAGTTTCCTTTGTTTAGGTTAAGCAGTTGTTATATCTAGAACTGAACAGACAAGAGGACTTAGTGTGAAAATGCATTGTGTTGGTTTGAAATGTCAGCTTTCTCTTATGAAGAAAAAGGTGCACTGAAATGTTGTTCCTTTGTGTATTAATGTGAAAATAAGATTTTGGCAGTTTAAGGTTTTGTCTCCTAATAAGAGGAAGGGTTGGTGATTATAAATGTCGTTGTAGCTATATATAATCAATAATTCCGTGAGAAGGTTTCTATGGTCACTGACGGGCTGTTACACAAAGAAACCTTACAAACACATTGTCTCTTCCTGTTGTTGTATATAAACAAACACAGTCTGGTATAGTGTTGGTAGACGTAGTTGTGTATATATTGTTTATAGAATGTGTAATAAGCTGTGTTGTTTAGCTCTGCAGTTTACAGGAGGAGGGAGAAGCAGGCATTTTTTATATTCAACAGTTTGACAAGGCTTTATTTTGTATTTTCACGCAGTTTTTACCTTGACCTTTGTTTGAACTTGACCAGCAGATCAGTGCCAGCTGTTGAGATTTTGCTGTAGTTATAGTCCTCTAACTGACCCTGTAGACCTATGACTGCATATAGGTTTTTGTATCCTGCAAAAATAGTTACAGATGAGATATATTATCACAGCTGGCCATCTTGGAATATCAGTTTATGTGGATGAAGCCTGTTTGTACTATTTAAGGAAGGCCATTCCATCCATAATAATCAATATTGACATGCTATTTGCTTGTTTCCCCCTTTAGGAGAGAATGGACCCAATTGATTTTTAATAAACAAGATCAAGGACACATGGTCACATAACAAAATGATATGATCTAGAGAAAACTATTAAGTAAAGATAGTTAAACCTTGGTTATATCAGGTAATATTTCAAATGACATCAATAATGAATCAATTAACTCTAACAGTGACAATGAGGACTTTGAAGTGAGGGTCACCAGCCCAGAATTCAAGGTCACAGGGGACTGATATTTATGCAATTTTAGGAGGACGATGGGATGCCATGTCCATTTCTATTGGGAATCATTGCCAGCAGACTTTATTTGGAAATTTATACTAAAGTCAGCAATAGTACTAAACAAAAGCCCAAACAAGTTCAGCTAACAAGGATCTAAGGTCATGATCTAATGTATATGTAGATAGGGGTTCGGCCCAAGGTCTAAGGGGATATCATGCATTATCTATTTTATGCCTGACCCTAGGTTAATGTTTACTCGTAATTTGACCTTGATCTATGGTTGATATTTGAGCTGTAAGTATTTTTACATGTAAACATTTTGATGGTGTCTTTGAGTTTATTATACTTGATCTTTGTTTTCCACAGATTCTGGATCAGTAATTTTCCTGTACATTTTGACCTTGACCATAGACTATCCACGGTTGTGAAAAGGTTTGCCAATCTTGTCCAGTCCGAGGGAAATCTCACCTTTAAGCAGCTCATTGATTTGTCCAAAGTGTAAGGTTCAAAGAACTGTCTTAAATGTAGCAATGATCTGTGGAAAAAGGGTAACATTGTAACAATGATCTGTGGAGAGAGTGTAACATTGAGTATAACATTGTTCTGTGGAGAGAGAGTAACATTGATCTGTGGAAAAGGTGTAACATTGATCTGTAGAGAGAGTGTAACATGGATCTGTGGAGAGAGTGTAACATTGATCTGTAGAGTGAGTGTAACATTGATCTGTAGAGAGAGTGTAACATGGATCTGTGGAGAGAGTGTAACATTGGTCTGTGGAAAAGGTGTAACATTGATCTGTAGAGAGAGTGTAACATGGATCTGTGGAGAGAGTGTAACATTGATCTGTAGAGAGAGTGTAACAATGATCTGTGGAGAAGGTGTAATATTGATCTGTGGAGAGAGTGTAACTTTGATCTGTGGAGAGAGTGTAACATTGATCTGTGGAGAGAGTGTAACAATCATTTGTGGAGAGAGTGTAACATTGTTCTGTAGAGAGAGTGTAACATTGGTCTGTAGAGAGAGTGTAACATTGGTCTGTAGAGAGAGTGTAACATTGGTCTGTGGAGTGAGTGTAACATTGTTCTGTGGAGAGAGTGTAACATTGTTCTGTGGAGAGAGTGTAACATTGATCTGTGGAGAGAGTGTAACATTGATCTGTGGAGAGAGTGTAACATTGATCTGTGGAGAGAGTGTAACAATGTTCTGTGGAGTGAGTGTAACATGGATCTGTGGAGAGAGTGTAACATTGATCTGTGGAGAGAGTGTAACAATGTTCTGTGGAGTGAGTGTAACAGTGATATGTAGAGAGAGTGTAACATTGATTTGTGGAGAGAGTGTAACATTGATCTGTGGAGAGAGTGTAACAATGTTCTGTGGAGTGAGTGTAACAGTGATATGTAGAGAGAGTGTAACATTGGTCTGTAGAGAGTGTGTAACACTGATCTGTGGATAGTGTGTAACACTGATCTGTGGATAGTGTGTAACACTGATCTGTGGAGAGAGTGTAACATTGATCTGTAGAGAGAGTGTAACATTGATTTGTGGAGAGAGTGTAACAATGATCTGTAGAGTGAGTGTAACATTGATTTGTGGAGAGAGTGTAACATTGATCTGTGGAAAGAGTGTAACAATCATTTGTGGAGAGAGTGTAACATTGGTCTGTAGAGAGAGTGTAACATTGGTCTGTGGAGTGAGTGTAACATTGATTTGTGGAGAGAGTGTAACATTGATTTGTGGAGAGAGTGTAACAATGATCTGTAGAGTGAGTGTAACATTGATTTGTGGAGAGAGTGTAACATTGATCTGTGGAGAGTGTGTAACACTGATCTGTGGATAGTGTGTAACACTGATCTGTGGAGAGAGTGTAACATTGATTTGTGGAGAGAGAGTAACATTGATCTGTAGAGTGAGTGTAACACTGATCTGTAGAGTGAGTGTAACATTGATTTGTGGAGAGAGTGTAACAATGATCTGTAGAGTGAGTGTAACATTGATTTGTGGAGAGAGTGTAACATTGATCTGTGGAGAGAGTGTAACAGTGATCTGTGGATAGTGTGTAACATTGATTTGTGGAGAGAGTGTAACAATGATCTGTAGAGTGAGTGTAACATTGATTTGTGGAGAGAGTGTAACATTGATCTGTGGAGAGAGTGTAACAGTGATCTGTGGATAGTGTGTAACAATGATCTGTGGATAGTGTGTAACACTGATATTACCATTATATATGTAGTCAGGTTTTGTTGAGGAACCCACTAATGCAATTTTATTAATTTTACAGACCTTCCTATGATTGGATGAGGAACATGTCTGTTCGAAATCCATCGATGCGGCACAACCGTAAGGTGTCCTTGGTGTTTAACCACCTTGAACCCATGGAGCTGGCCGAACACCTCACCTACCTAGAATACAAGGCTTTCCGCCGCATAAATGTAAGTTTTAGTATCATAAGTTATCACCTGCCACTTTGATAATCACTGAAAAGTTATGCAATTTAGATCTATTCAGTTTCTCTGTAAGATTTTTTATCCTAGATGTATAAGCTTCTCTGTAAGATTTTGTATCCTAGATGTATTAGCCTCACTCTAAGATTTTGTATCCTAGATGTATAAGCTTCTCTGTAAGTTTTTGTATCCTAGATGTATTAGCCTCACTCTAAGATTTTGTATCCTAGATGTATTAGCCTCACTCTAAGATTTTGTATCCTAGATGTATTAGCTTCACTCTAAGATTTTGTATCCTAGATGTATTAGCCTAAGATTTTGTATCCTAGATGTATGAGCTTCTCTGTAAGATTTTGTATCCTAGATGTATTAGCCTCACTCTAAGATTTTGTATCCTAGATGTATTAGCCTCACTCTAAGTTTTTGTATCCTAGATGTATGAGCTTCTCTGTAAGATTTTGTATCCTAGATGTATTAGCCTCAGTTTTTGTATCCTAGATGTATAAGCTTCTCTGTAAGATTTTGTATCCAAGATGTATAAGCTTCTCTGTAAGATTTTGTATCCTAGATGTATTAGCCTCACTCTAAGTTTTTGTATCATAGATGTATTAACTTCTATGTAAGATTTTGTATCCTAGATGTATAAGCTTCTCTGTAAGTTTTTGTATCCTAGATGTATTAGCCTCACTCTAAGATTTTGTATCCTAGATGTATTAGCCTCACTCTAAGATTTTGTATCCTAGATGTATAAGCTTCTCTGTAAGTTTTTGTATCCTAGATGTATTAGCCTCACTCTAAGATTTTGTATCCTAGATGTATTAGCCTCACTCTAAGATTTTGTATCCTAGATGTATTAGCCTCACTCTAAGATTTTGTATCCTAGATGTATTAGCCTCACTCTAAGATTTTGTATCCTAGATGTATTAGCCTCACTCTAAGATTTTGTATCCTAGATGTATTAACTTCTCTGTAAGATTTTGTATCCTAGATGTATAAGCTTCTCTGTAAGATTTTGTATCCTAGATGTATTAGCCTCACTCTAAGATTTTGTATCCTAGATGTATTAGCCTCACTCTAAGATTTTGTATCCTAGATGTATAAGCTTCTCTGTAAGTTTTTGTATCCTAGATGTATTAGCCTCACTCTAAGATTTTGTATCCTAGATGTATTAGCCTCACTCTTAAGATTTTGTATCCTAGATGTATAAGCTTCTCTGTAAGTTTTTGTATCCTAGATGTATTAGCCTCACTCTAAGATTTTGTATCCTAGATGTATTAGCCTCACTCTAAGATTTTGTATCCTAGATGTATTAGCCTCACTCTAAGTTTTTGTATCATAGATGTATTAACTTCTATGTAAGATTTTGTATCCTAGATGTATAAGCTTCTCTGTAAGTTTTTGTATCCTAGATGTATTAGCCTCACTCTAAGATTTTGTATCCTAGATGTATTAGCCTCACTCTTAAGATTTTGTATCCTAGATGTATAAGCTTCTCTGTAAGTTTTTGTATCCTAGATGTATTAGCCTCACTCTAAGATTTTGTATCCTAGATGTATTAGCCTCACTCTAAGATTTTGTATCCTAGATGTATTAGCCTCACTCTAAGATTTTGTATCCTAGATGTATTAGCCTCAGTTTTTGTAACTTATATAAAACCCCCTTTTATTGAAGTAAATACGAGAAACGTTGCTGTTATATAAGATTTATAGATTAAACCATCAGTGTTCTTTTTTTGTGAAGCTGTACAAATAGTTTTTAAAAAGCTGTTGAACTGACGTCAGAGTAGGTTAATACAATGTAGTATCCGTGTCATTACAGCCTCTGACATCAGTATCTGTTTTAAGCTAACAAACAGAATCTGCTATGCTTTTATGTACATGTGTGAAAACTGATTCCTATTAGTGGTTTGTGCGTCATTAAAACCAGTTTGAAGAACTGATATATTGATTGTATAGATGATGTTTATGAGTCGGAGTGTTGTGCACTGTGTTGTTTGTCTCCTGTTGTAAAATAACCGTAGCCTCACCTTCAATCACATTTAAACCATTAAAGGATCAATATCCGAGTATTTACAAAATGATCCTTCCTTTGTTTTGCTGAAAATGTATCAAAGCTACATGGTTATGTATGAAGCTCCTGTTCAGGCTTAAATGGTTTTTGTCAATTGAAGTTTAGAGTTTCATATTGGTACATTCCTGTCCTTAATTTATACACAATGTTATACAAGTATGATAGTACATATGTAAAAAGATAAACATTTGGGTGGGTCTGGTACAGAAATCTACCTGTTAGATTTATTGATGAGTGCAGGGAGAAACTTGTTCATGAAACCTAATGGTAAAGGAGTTAAAAAAACCAGCAACCTGTTTCAGTCCAAGAAATAAATGACAAAGCAGCAGAAATATCATGATAACCTGTCAGAGTTCAGGAAGAAAATATTGCTGTAACAATCAGTTCCATTGATTTCTGTTGTACAACAACATCAAAAATTGATGAAAACTTTTTGTTGGAAAATGAAATTCATTAAAAGTGCAGTGAGTGACTTGTTCAAGTAAATGCTTTACTTTTTTCCAGTTTACTGATTTCAAGAACTATGCAGTGACAGCTTCCTTGAAGGACAACCCCAAATTGGAGCGATCCATTGCCCTGTTCAACGGACTGTCCCAGTGGATACAATGTATGGTCTTAAGCAAGACAACTCCTCAACAGCGAGCAGACGTCATCGTCAAGTTTGTCAATGTTGCTAAGGTTAGACATTGTTGTATAATTAGGATATATGTAATGTATATTCTCTAATGGCTACCCTTTAAAATGTGATGTTGGGAAGAATGTTGTTTTATGATATGGTTAATTTTCATTTTTTTTTTTTTAAGAAACTGAGGTATTTGCAAAACTTCAACACTTTGATGTCTGTCGTTGGTGGTCTGACACACAGTGCGCTGGCGAGACTTGCCAAGACCAATGCCTGCATTCCCAGTGAAACTCAGAAGGTGAGACTTGAGGGACCTGACAACCTTCCTGTTGTTGTCATGGTAACAAATCAAAACTCTGCAGATATTACAATCTGGAAGGGTTATTTGTGCCAGAAAGATTCTTGTGTTACAAAGATCTTTTATTAATTGAATTAAGATTATATTTAAAACAAAACAAAAAAATATGGTTTATAAGGATTCCTGATGTTTTTTCATTTAAAAAACAATTTTTCATGATCAACAAGATCTGTTTGAAAATTATTTTCTTTTTCAGACTTTGATGGAATTCACAGAACTTTTATCGTCCAACAACAACTTCAGTAATTATCGGAAAGTGTTTAACCAGTGTTGTGCGTTTAAGATTCCAATATTGTAAGTATCAATACTGAGGCATCAAGAGTTCCACTTCTGAATATTTTGGTATGGCATTACATTATGGTTCAAATCTTAGTGTGATGTTTCAAGACATAAATGTAATAAGACCCAGAAATATGAAACTGAAAAACTTTCTTGGCAACAGCATGCACCTTATTTGCGTTTCTACCTGCCAAATATGAAAAATAGAATGATTTTAAATTAACAGTCTTTCAGGGATCATTTTAATTTCACGCAAATTGAAAATCCTCTCAAGAGTTTGTTTGAAACTACATGTATACGCAATATTGAAAATATGTGTAATGAAAATGCAATAATTTCCTATTAATATACCCTTCAGCAACATAATAAGTAATGTCTTTCCTTGACTTCTTTAAATCTTAAACATACGGTTGATAATAAATGATTGAAGTGCAAAAGATTGGATGGGCTGTATTTGACCTCTTACCTTTGACCTTGTAGGGGAGTACACTTGAAGGATCTTATCCTGTTACACACAGCATTACCAGATAAAGTGGAAGGAAGTTTGGTGAACTTCAGAAAAATGGCACAGCTTTCTCAAACTCTCAAAGAGCTCACCAAACTACAGAACCATGACAACATTCCAGTGTGCGCCAACATGGACCTTGTCAACACACTAAGGGTTAGTAGATTTGTAAATGTCAGTATTTGTTAAGGCGGGAAAACAGAAAATTGGGGCAAATTTCCTGGATATTGGTTTCTTTTATATTATTTTTATATTTCTTCATTTGAATTGGAAACTTCAATATTTTTTGCACAAGTTAAAAATATGAAAGTTTTCCACCCCATAAGATGAAACATAACTGTTATTTATCAAAAAAGAAGAGATTTATATTCCATTTATTACATTTTTTCACACCTTACATTGGTGCCAGTTAAAATGATAGATTCCCCAATCTGTTGTCTCTTGGTAAAAAAAAGGGATTAAAATATCAAAACTTGTTATTTTTATTCAATGAATATATTGTCAATATCTTCACCATAAAACCTTATATTTTACCTTTATATTTTACTGTGAAGAAGGTCATAAAGCATATTTCTTTGTTTATTAGAAACAAGTCGGAATTCTTCATGCTTTCATTTCCATCAGTTTCTTCATCCAAGGCCTTTGTATCCTTTGTTCCAGTTGTCCTTGGACCTTCACTATACAGAAGATGAGATTTATGAACTGTCCTTAGCCAGAGAACCACGTAACTCCCTGTCATCAGTAAGTATCCACACACTCCTCAATCATCCTGTTTACAACAGTCAGGCAGAGTTACCTCCCTGTCAACAGTAAGTATCCACACTCACACACTCCTCAATCATCCTGTTTACAACAATCAGACAGAGTTACCTCCCTGTCATCAGTATCAACACTCACACACTCCTCAATCATCCTGTTTACAACAATCAGACAGAGTTACCTCCATGTCATCAGTAAGTATCCACACTCTAATATTCATCCCTGTATACACTCCTTAATCATCCTGTTTACAACAATCAGAGTCAGTTTTATTTGTATTAATTTGATAATGCTAAAAAAGAATCCATATTGATTTGTAAGAAAGGCCTGAAAACTGAAAAAGCAAAACTGGTGTCATAGGTTTGTCTGATTGATAATGACTTGATAAAACTATAAAGGCTGAATAATACACCATACATACAGTAAGAGTACCCTGTGTCTGTGAGTCAGATTTTGTCTTGTCTTACAAGGTCAATTTCTTTGACCTTATTTCCATAAATTGTCTGATATCTTTTTTCATGTGTTATTTTTGTAGCCTTCTACTCCTACCAAGCCTGTTGTATTTGCTGACTGGTTAGCTGGAGTTAGCCCCCCTGTTCCAAATACGATAAATAAACATGTACATGATATGGTGGAAGTAAGTATAGTTTGGGATAACAGTTAATACACACAATCAAAATGACTCTTATCAATAGGAAGTACTTCTGTCTATTAATGATAAGAAACCTTAACTTGATTCTGGGCAAAAAGTGACTCAGGCAAACCCATCTAAAAATTGATGTGTTTTGGTAGATTGATATGTTCTTACTTACGCAAGAAATTAATTCTTATTCCAAGAAAATATTGTCAAACTACATCTTCCAACACAAATGCTGTTATGAAGATAATGAGATTATCAAGCATGAAGTCAATTATTTTCACTCCAGTTTGATACTGCCATGATAACACTGTTTAATTTTGTTTTTTGATTTTCACCATCAAACTGATACTGAAACCTTTAACCCATTTTTTTTGTATTAATGATATTAATTTGATTTATTTTTAGGCAGTGTTTAAAAACTATGACCATGACAAAGACGGGTTTATCTCTCATGAGGAATTTGAGTCCATAGCCGGCAACTTCCCGTTTATAGATTCCTTTTGTGTACTAGATGCTGACAAGTAAGTACCAATACACATACTGTATGTTAGCATAAATGAGACCTCCCACAGTAAAAAAATTTGATAAAAAGTAGGGAGGGGGTTTAATTACAAGCATCCCCATATATATATGAAGAAGCCGTTACAGGCGAAACATGTTGGCCAGAAATCCTCAATAAATCTTAACACTACCATCCCAGCTTGTTGTGAATACCTCTCACACTCTTCCACTATATATATTAAATGTCGGCCATCTTGGATGATGGTTGTACCTTACTTCGACCATCAATACTCTCTCTTACTGGCGACAAGTATGTATTGCTATTTGACGATAACTTAAATGTTGAAGATATTATGAAACAATGACTAGAAAAGAATATAGTATTTAAGAACCATTAAACAGACCTACTGATAAATATTAGGACAATATCAAGTTACCCCCAGCCTACTACACTTTTAAAATTATTTCTTGACTCATATCCCAGTTCAGGAAAGGCCACTTGATGTTTGAGTCACAAATAGATAGAAGAATGCTTGTAATTTATTATTTGGTGATTGCTTTCAATGTTCTTGATAGTTTACCCTTGTAAATATGAATGATGAAAGTGAACTCATTTCAAAAGTATGTTCACCAGCAGTTTTGGAAGTGATGTAAGGTTGTAACTGGTTACACCGATTGATAATAAAATACTCAGATATAAGAAAGATTTGGTGTGTAAGCCAAAAATAAGTAATCATTTGACAAATATTTGGACAAAATAGTTCTCTAAAATTTCATTAAGCTCCATCATTGTGTCATTAGTGTTAGATTGAAGTAAGCTCGATCATGGTGTCATTAGTGATAGACTGAAGTAAGCTCCATCATTGTGTCGTTGATGTTAGATTGAAGTAAGCTCCATCATGGTGTCATTAGTGTTAGATTGAAGTAAGCTCCATCATTGTGTCATTGATGTAAGACTGAAGTAAGCTCCATCATTGTGTCATTAGTGTTAGATTGAAGTAAGCTCCATCATTGTGTCATTAGTGTTAGACTGAAGTAAGCTCCATCATTGTGTCATTAGTGTTAGATTGAAGTAAGCTCCATCATTGTGTCATTTATGTTAGATTGAAGTAAGCTCCATCATTGTGTCATTAGTGTTAGATTTAAGTAAGCTCCATCATTGTGTCATTAGTGTTAGATTGAAGTAAGCTCCATCATTGTGTCATTGATGTAAGACTGAAGTAAGCTCCATCATTGTGTCATTAGTGTTAGATTGAAGTAAGCTCCATCATTGTGTCATTTATGTTAGATTGAAGTAAGCTCCATCATTGTGTCATTAGTGTTAGATTTAAGTAAGCTCCATCATTGTGTCATTAGTGTTAGATTGAAGTAAGCTCCATCATTGTGTCATTGATGTAAGACTGAAGTAAGCTCCATCATTGTGTCATTAATGTTAGATTTAAGTAAGCTCCATCATTGTGTCATTAATGTTTGTTTGAAGTAAGCTCCATCATTGTGTCATTAATGGTTTGAACTTTTTCAGGGATGGCATGATCAGCAAGGCTGAGATGAAGACCTATTTCATCAGAGCAAATTGTCATGCTCTACGCAAATGTTTTAAACATGACTTCCATGAGATCACCTACTTCAAGCCGACCTTTTGTATACACTGCACAGGACTGGTAAGTCTCAAAATTAATGTCGCAGATTGTGACTTTACTATCCAATGTACCAGATATTAGACAATTGAAGTACAGTTGAAACTTGTTATCTCTAAATTGCTTGAGTCAAAATTCTGTTTGAGTTCATATCCCGATTTTTTTCATTTCTGTATCTTTGATTTTAGTTTGGATAACTCGAATTTCAATGAGTCGAAATTTAGTTGAGTCTAAGTGATTTTTCAGTTCCTTCAATTGTAAAGCAAGGAAAAAGTCATTTGTTGTCTTGAAATTAATTTTTGTCAAAACAACGGCACATCTTCTGATGAAATTGGTCCATACATACACTGAGTGGAAAGTCACCTGTGCGTAACAAATGGCTTGTTTTTATGTATTTGTCCACAACACTTGGTCACTGATGATTAATTACCAGTTTAATTATCCAATTAAAGATTGGCTTCTTCATTAATGTCACCATCCTGTAGCAGTGACTTACTTGTACCTTAAAAGATGTAGCACTTTTACACAAAATATGAAAACATTTAGCATGGTTGCGTGCATCTTTAGGAGTGATAAAAATGAAACCATCAAACCAGTACGAACATTTGACAAAATCTTATCCCAACAATTCTGAAAGAAAACTAATTTTAAACTTGTTAACTAAAGAACTGTGTTTAGACACATTGTCAGATTTCATGTCTGGACATCGAAGTGCTGAAAGTATTTTTCATTGATAGAGTCTATATCTGCGCGTGATTTGTTAAGTCTAGTGCTTGTATAATGTTTTCTTTAACAGGTAAAACCTTTCTAGTGCCATGTTTTTCATACGTTTATTTATTCATGTTGATATGATCTTTGGCTTCATACATCGCTTCTTGTAGCGGATCAAAAGCAAATTTTAATTTTGTTTAATGTCATTCCGTAAAGTATATGATGTATATGTGTTTGGTCAGTAATGGTATTGGCTATTGTACACGTGTGTGGGATTGAACGACGTGAATACAATTGCATTTGATTGGAGTTGTTATTACATGTTTTGTGATTTGGATGAATGAAAAATAAAAGGAGAAAGTAGGATAAATTCATTTGTTTATTTACTGCCATTTCACATATCAGATCAAACTATGCTGTTTGCGTGCTGTCGTAGCCCTACTTCATTTAACTGTAATCAACATCAGAAAACTGATATTGTCAACCATATTTATACGCTTTGTTTGAGTGGAAATACGGATAAGTCGAAATATTGTCCATGGTCTCTTTGATATCAAGATAATGAGTCTCGATTGTATTACAATGCTTAATAGTATACTTATACACTGTGTAATAACACCTGTCATATAAATTCTGCAGTTCCACACATGTAATGTGATTTAGTGGAACACACATGTCATATAACCTAGTGGAACACACAGGTAATATGACCCAGTGGAACACACATGTCATATAACCTAGTGGAACACACAGGTAATATGACCCAGTGGAACACACATGTATTATGACCTAGTGGAACACACATGTCATATAACCTAGTGGAACACACAGGTAATATGACCCAGTGGAACACACATGTATTATGACCTAGTGGAACACACAGGTAATATGACCCAGTGGAACTTACATTTAATATGACCTAGTGGAACACATGTAATATGACCCAGTGGAACTTACATTTAATATGACCTAGTGGAACACACATGTAATATGACCTCCTAGTGGAACGTACATGTCATATAACCTAGTGGAACACATGTTATGTGACCAAGTGGAACATGCATGTAATATGACCCAGTGGAACACACATGTAATATGACCTAGTGGAACACACATGTAATATGACCTAGTGGAACACACATGTAATATGACCCAAAGGAACACACATGTAATATGACCTAAAGGAACACACATGTAATATGACCCAGTGGAACACACATGTAATATGACCTAAAGGAACACACATGTAATATGACCTAGTAGAACACACATGTAATATGACCTAAAGGAACACACATGTAATATGACCCAGTGGAACACACATGTAATATGACCCAGTGGAACACACATGTAATATATAGAGGAATTGACAGGTGGTATAAACAAATAGAATAGACAGATAGTAAAAAAGTAGAATAAACAGGTAGTACAAACATAGAATATACAGGTGGTACAGAACAATAGAATAGCTGGGTACAGGAAGTACAATGAAAGACGAAAGAATTTTTTAAACAATCTTCCCACTGACTAAATAGTTCAGGAATTTAAATGGATACACACTTTACTTTGCATCTGTGTCTATAAATCACCTGAGCCATGTAATATGAAATTCTAATATGGGAAGGTTGTTTTATGAATGGACAATCACCTTAAATGTCTGTATAATGTGTTCCGTCTCATATAGTATCTTTAAATGACATAAACCTGGTTAAATCTTGTGCAGAGATTTCTACTCTGCTACATGTCTTTTATGAACACAAGCCTAATGATGACGTTGGTTTTTTCAATTTTGTCTGATTTTCTGTCGATATTCCCACATATTTTCAATTTGGTGATAAAAATCATCGGAGCTTGAGGCAGACTGGTCCTGTTAGTGTGTTGTCATGTGTATGGTGAATACTCTAATGTGTACCGCTTCTAAAACTCCTACTGAAACAGACATACAAAGAGAGAGCCATGCTTGATTAAACCCACATTAAAATGCCTTCAGATCTTCATAACATAACGAAAGGAACTCTAATCTGCTTATGTATGTATTTCCTGAGAATTACCGTTCATAATTATTTCTTTATGTCAGCGACACGTTTTACAGAGTAATGAATGACTTCGGGACAAATCCACACGTTTGTCTGACTTGGGGTTCTCACTTTAACTGAATGTACATCTAGAATCATCTGTGTAAGTTCCTGTTCAATACTACCCAGAGATATTCTGAGGATATATAGGTAGGTGTTGTCATGCAGTTTAATGTAACTGTTTTTATTATTTCAGTTGTGGGGACTGATTAAACAAGGCTGGAAATGTAAAGGTAAGTCATGTATAGAAAACTTTAACACCTGTGTGTTTACAAAGGTGAGACTGTCGTCAGATAACTGTGTACCTAATACACTTATACCAGTACTTGTCATTTCACTGGTGTGGGCGTACCTTTGCGTAAAATGCTTTTGTTTTTTTCATGTTTATTCCTTTTGACGTAATCGGATATGAGTCTTTCACACAAGGTGTCTACTATTGGTCATTTACTCTTCACTGTGAATATTAATCATCAAAACTATACACATGACATGATGGTAAAATCATTAGTTTTTAAGAAAACCAGCTTATGATCAGAAGGGACTCTATGAAAGGATTTTTGATTTTCTTGTTTAAACCAGGTATGTCTTTATGAATATAGATACTTTATAGACAAGTCTGATATGTAAAGTGTATTTCATATTCATTAACTAGAAAATGTGTTCTGTTTCAAATGGTTGGATCAAATATTTCAACCAGCTAATCTTTCTATTCAGTATAGTGGTGAGCTTATTTGATGCTAAAAAACAACTTGTGTTGTCCACTTGATATTCTGACTGGGCTGACTATACCTGGTTTTTATTTGTTGATCAGATAAAAAATTTGATTTTAGAAACTGATAGAAAAAGAAAGCTAATTAATGGCAGTATTATAAACCATTATGTAAAGAACTGTATTACTTTATTAGGTAGATCTATTTTTAGATCATATGATTTATATCTGTATTGGTCGTAGTGGGAGATTTCCAAATTGTTTCATCACACATTTGAATATTAATGTGTGATGTCACAGCAAGAATTATGAAGTGATTTTTCTTTTTCAACATTTCATACTTTTTTGTAGAAAAGTATTCTTGTTCCAACAACATTTCCACTACATTTTAGTAGAATTTGTGACATTTCACATTCCTTCTTCTACTTTGTCAGGTATTTTACCTGGAGGGGCATAATTTACTCTGGGTAATATATGCCTAAGTTTTGGTCGGATAGCTATAATCATTCTGTCAATAGAAAATATTGTCAGACTTAAGACCCACTCCTGGCTTATGCTATTTTTAAAACCGACTGTTCATGGTATGTTCAAATGGATGTTTCATTAGAAATTGTTGTACCAGAAAGTTTTTTTAGCTTGTCACTTTATACAATTTGTGTTCCACTTAGATTTATTGAATATGAGTTTGTATGAAAATAATTGTAGGCCATGATTTATTACAGTAAGTGTGTGTAATATGGCACTAAATTTACTTCATATTTCAACAAAGTACGTAAGAATTCCCCAGAGATCTGTTTTGTTAGTAAGAATTCCCCAGAGATCTGTTTTGTAAGTAAGAATTCCCCAGAGATCTGTTTTGTAAGTAAGAATTCCCCAGAGATCTGTTTTGTAAGTAAGAATTCCCCAGAGATCTGTTTTGTAAGTAAGAATTCCCCAGAGATCTGTTTTGTAAGTAAGAATTCCCCAGAGATCTGTTTTGTAAGTAAGAATTCCCCAGAGATCTGTTTTGTAAGTAAGAATTCCCCAGAGATCTGGTAGAGGTCTCCAGTGACATAAGTTAGATGTGAATTGTTGTGAGCAGACCATCTTGGGCTGTGGTCCCATTTTGGGTAGTGTTAAGTGGTCATGACATACTTTTCAGTGAAAACCAAATAATTTAAAGAATACGGAATTCATGATAAAGACCATTGCTCCAGAACACAAGTACTTAATGCTAAAGATGATGATCACAACCAATGATCTTACCTGTTTATAGAATTAGATATAAATTGTACAAAATAGTGTCAAAAAATTCTTTTGTGGATGTAATCTAGGGTAGTGTGTATTATGGGATATTAGTAGGTGGTCTGGGTGGTGTCCAGGGCCCAGTATAGGTGGTGTCCAGGGCCCTGTATAGGTGGTGTGTAGGGCCCTGTATAGGTGGTGTGTAGGGCCCTGTATAGGTGGTGTCCAGGGCCCAGTATAGGTGGTGTGTAGGGCCCTGTATAGGTGGTTTCTAGGGCCCAGTATAGGTGGTGTGTAGGGCCCAGTATAGGTGGTGTCTAGGGCCCTGTATAGGTGGTTTCTAGGGCCCAGTATAGGTGGTGTGTAGGGCCCAGTATAGGTGGTGTCTAGGGTCCAGTATAGGTGGTGTCTAGGGCCCTGTATAGGTGGTTTCTAGGGCCCAGTATAGGTGGTGTGTAGGGCCCAGTATAGGTGGTGTGTAGAGCCCTGTATAGGTGGTTTCTAGGGCCCAGTATAGGTGGTGTCCAGGGTCCAGTATAGGTGGTCTGGGTGGTGTCCAGGGCCCTGTATCTAACATATATAGATGTATGTTAGGTAGGTTGTCTGGGTTGTGTCCAGGGCCCTGTATCTAACATATATAGATGTATGTTAGGTAGGTGGTCTGGGTTGTGTCCAGGGCCCTGTATCTAACATATATAGATGTATGTTAGGTAGGTGGTCTGGGTTGTGTCCAGGGCCCTGTATCTAACATATATAGATGTATGTTAGGTAGGTGGTCTGGGTGGTGTCCAGGGCCCTGTATCTAACATATATAGATGTATGTTAGGTAGGTGGTCTGGGTGGTGTCCAGGGCCCTGTATCAAACATATATAGATGTATGTTAGGTAGGTGGTCTGGGTGGTGTCCAGGGCCCTGTAACTAGCATATATAGATGTATGTTAGGTAGGTGGTCTGGGTGGTGTCCAGGGCCCTGTATCTAACATATATAGATGTATGTTAGGTAGGTGGTCTGGGTGGTGTCCAGGGCCCTGTATCTAACATATATAGATGTATGTTAGGTAGGTGGTCTGGGTGGTGTCCAGGGCCCTGTAACTAGCATATATAGATGTATGTTAGGTAGGTGGTCTGGGTGGTGTCCAGGGCCCTGTATCTAACATATATAGATGTATGTTAGGTAGGTGGTCTGGGTTGTGTCCAGGGCCCTGTATCTAACATATATAGATGTATGTTAGGTAGGTGGTCTGGGTGGTGTCCAGGGCCCTGTATCTAACATATATAGATGTATGTTAGGTAGGTGGTCTGGGTTGTGTCCAGGGCCCTGTATCTAACATATATAGATGTATGTTAGGTAGGTGGTCTGGGTTGTGTCCAGGGCCCTGTATCTAACATATATAGATGTATGTTAGGTAGGTGGTCTGGGTTGTGTCCAGGGCCCTGTATCTAACATATATAGATGTATGTTAGGTAGGTGGTCTGGGTTGTGTCCAGGGCCCTGTATCTAACATATAGACCTACTCATTTGTTATTTTACACTCTGGTATTGTCAGTCCCTGATGAATAACAATCATCAAGTTCTTCCCACAATTTTGTTATATGTCCATGTCATGATTACTCACTCCTGAAAAGAATTAATGTAGAATAGCCTTTCTATAGTTAAACATGGCTGCATGGATTTTAAAATACGTCCTATAATTTTCTCACACATTGGATATCATCAGGACTTCGGAACTAAGAAGTCCGCTATGGTAATTATTGCACTTCAGTCATTTTGTTTGTAAACCCTTTAAAGCTATTCAAGTCCTATCTATCATTCACCTATCATTAGAATATAAGTTTTGCCTTTGAGCTGGCACAAGGCTTTGTTGGCAGTGTATGTATTATCACACAATACCTCAACTTTGATGTGTTAAATCTATTGTCTTTTACATACAGGTGTTCAGCGCTTGATCACCAAGTTAACACAAAAATTTCAATCTATCATGTTTGTTTTGTACACTTCAAATTTCATGTGCAAAAAATTATTTGTGATTTAGAATTGTCACTACTATGAAAGGAAATAGATATGCTTCATTAGTTTTAAAAAGTTACTGTGAAGAATTTTTTTCCCTGTAACATTGTGTTTGCTGTGTTGTTAGTGTACATTGGCCGTGTTGTTAGATTGACGATTGACTGAGGTGGTGGATGTGTGTTTTTTCAGACTGTGGTATTAACGCCCATAAACACTGTAAAGACTTGGTTGTGATGGAATGTCGTAGTAAGCAGCATGCAGCTTGTAATCGGCGTCAAGACTCGGTGACAAACGGTAGGTTTTCTACATACTTCTAACCCTTGAATATGTAGCATTTTCACATCTCACTTTTCAGAATGTCATGGTTTAAATATAACACAGTCATTGTACCATTTGAGAAGGCTGTTGTAGGTTATTTTGTTATCACACTCCACATGATATTGGTAACCAGCAATAATGAAAATTTCTGCTTTAATGAAAAAAACTGTAAAGTGTTTCTGATACACTGAGTATGGATATATTATGGATAACTAACTTGTCTCTCTGGATAAGATGTTGGTCAAAGTCTCTCTTACTGTATTATTTAAGTAAACGATGTGGAGGCAATATTTCATCACTTGAATGGTCTTAAACACACATGCTTTAGAAACGGAATCTTCAAGACACATAACCTATGGTGTCTTAAAATCATGATACAAAATTGTATAAGGTGTTTAAATGAAATATAAAGTTCAAGATAAGGCATGTTGAAGACACATCAAACCAGACAGGTATGATAAAAACAGGTTACTGTATCAGGTCTTTTTTTAATGATGGATATAACCAGAAAGGCCCCAGTTATGTTTCTAGAAGACATAGAACCAGACAGGTAAGATAGGATTAGGTGTCTTAATGAAAGGTATAATCAGACAGGTATGATAAAAACAGGTTACTGTATTTAGGTGTCTAGAAGACAGGTAAGATAGGATTAGGTGTCTTAATGACAGGTATAATCAGACATGTATGATAAAAACAGGTTACTGTATTAGGTGTCTAGAAGACAGGTAAGATAGGATTAGGTGTCTTAATGACATATATAATCAGACATGTATGATAAAAACATTTTTCTGGATTAGGTGTCTAGAAGACAGGTAGGATAGGATAAGGTGTTTTAACAAGAGGTATAATCAGACAGGTATGATAAAGACACACTTCTGGAATATGTGTCTAGAAGGCTAGTACAGTCAGACATGTATGATATGATAAGATGTCTTAACAACAGATATGATCCAGACAAGTATAATAAAAAGATATATTCGATTAGGTGTCTAGAAGACAGATATAACGTAATAAAGAAACAATGTTCTCCAAATACCAGGTCTAGAAAACAATGTAAATTTATGAAGCATTAGGTCATTCACATCAGTCGCAGTTAATCATCCAAAAAAAACTGAAAGTTGAATTGAGATAGTCAGTGAAAAATATTAGATTTGTCAGAGAAGTCAGAGTCGGGTATCAAAACAAGTGACATAATGTGTTGATTGTATAGATCTGTGTATTAATTCTCAGGAAGCAGGAAACTTTTTGTCCAATATTTTAAGGAAACAGTGAAATAATTGTAATACAGACTGTATTACATATAGAAAAAATCACTTATAACATAGGTAATACTTGATGGGCTGAAGGGTTACTCTTAGTTTTCTTGTCGACATGGGTGGAGTGGTGTCTTGTACAGGTAACTCTCAGTGTTCTTGTTGAAGTTTAAACCTTTATAACTCACTTGGTCCTAAGAACTGGTGGGTTTATGCCATGGCGTGATGTCCGGCATCCAGTTGGTGTCCAATGTCCTTCAACTTTTTACTAAAGCACTACTAGTCATGAACGACTGAACAGATTTTAACCAAATTTGATCAGAAGCATCTTCAGGGGAAAGGGAACTCTCTCTTATATAGATGTTAGGTCTTTTCCCTGGGGCAGAAGGGACAGGGTCTAATAGGGGAAATGAAGCAAATTCTTTAAAATCCTACTCCTCCATGTTTTTTACTAATTTTGCCCAAATTTGGTCAGAAGTATCCTTGGGTGAAGCAGATTCAAGATCTCTGCCCCAAGGGTAATGATGTGTGGTGTTAATGTCTTTCCTATCCTCAACTACACAATGTTGACATATCTGTTTGATGAACTTGAAGATGCTGAAATATTTCTGTTTCACATTACTTAGATAAATTGTGTAGAACAGTATCATGTCTGTGATTTCTGCAATTTAGAAGTGTTGACACTATATAATTTCACAACGTTGACCAAATTCTCTGTTCAGGAACTCCCACTCAAGAATTGACATACTCATCAAAAAGAAAAATGTCACAACGACAGAAACGGAACCGTGTACACCAAGGAACGCAAACTGAGGAAATCTACTTTATGGATTATCAGATGCGGAACTCCCACATGAATGGAGATGGAGAATTTTACGAGGAACAGGGCCAACTATATGACCGATTGTTAAAGGCAGAGGAGGTAGGTGTAAAGATTGAACATATATCTATATGATATCCTGTATTGTATCCAAACTACCTTATTCATCAGTATACCTGTATACTATATAGGTGTAGTCATTGAAATGTTTGAAATTTTTGTGTAAGAGGGTCCAGTCATAGGTTATGTTGGGTTGTATATATAGGACAATGAGATTTGGCACATTTAGATAAAAGCATGAAGTGGATTGTAAGGTATTATACGGACCCTAGTATTATTAAGGTCCTACCAGATGAATCTTGGGTTAGTCTGTATGAACATAGGTTGCATTTTGGCTGTTTTCCAGTAAGCCAGATAGGAGTGTTATAATGAGGAAGTGCATGGTAATGGACTCATAGATGTTCATTATATAACTAGTGTGAAGTTACAAAAACCTGATAATAAACTAGCATTATACAGTATAATGTGGTTAATTATATTGCAGGTTCTATTTTTACATTTTCTCTTATGTGTTGTTACACTAAGTATATTTACATAGAAAAAGATGTTATACAGGATATGCATGAATATGCAGATTGGGGCAAAAGGTTGTCTATCTAAGCATGTCACACTAAACAACGTTATAATCCAGAACACACAATTATATAAACACATATAGGCTATCGATGGGTTATGTGACAACCATAGAAACCATTCATGGAAATAGGGTAACCATTGGTAAAACTATTGTAAACATTGGTTACCCATGACAACCATTCATTACCATCTGACAGCCAATGGTTACATCTCACAACCATTTACCATTGATAATCATTTGTCACTTCTGACAGCCATTGTCTATCATCAGAAAACCATTGGTCACATTTGACAACCATTGATTAGCACCAGTGGATTATGGAGCAACTTAATTTAAGTTAGTTTGTTCAGAACGACCAATTAATTTGTATCTGATATTTTGTTTTTCTGACATAAAGGATATTTCATCTCTCATCTTTATCAGTTGCATCAACAAATAGTGAATGTTTGTGAAAAGTTACTGGTGGTGGGAAGTTCACAATCAAGCATGCATGAAATAGAATTAAAACTTGACCAAAATGTTTACTAAAAAGAGTGAGGTAATTTGAAACTTTGGAATATGTTGTAATTTTCTATCCAACTAATATTATTTAAGTTTTAATTCGATATATATACATACAAACAATAATTAAACATTATTTAGATTTGGTCTGTAGCACACCAATGATTCAGATTGATCTTTGGTCTGGTATAGATTTTGTCGATATAATTGTTCATCCGTATAGATTTTCTCCATGGCACAGTGTTGATTCCTGCCCAAAACACAATGTGGATTATACCAAAAGTCTTTTTTAGCTCACCTGGCCCTAAGGGGCAAGAGAGCTTGTGGCATGGCGCAGCATACATCGTCTGTCAACTTTTTTCTACAAAATGCTTCTTGTCATACAAGACCGAGAAGATTTCAGCCATTTTTATTAAGGGGAAACTATTTTGTATAAAAAAAGGGTCTTGGACTCCAGGGGCCTGGTATGGAAAACCAAGGATTATTAAGTACTTTAACATTGAACTTCAATGGGTAAGGCACCAAAAGGCAAACTAAATAATAAATCTTTAAAATTTTTGTTTTGTCAAGGATGAAGTGATTTTCACCAAGGTTGGTCTGAAGCATCATTGGATTAAGTAAGCAAATCAACTTTGTATAAACCAAGGATATTGGCAGGGCCCAATAGGGGAATTAGGGATTTACCTTTATAATCTTTCTTCTCAGTATTGATAAAGCAATTGTAACCAAACCTACCCTGGTGAGAGATACAGGCTTTAATGGGCCTCTTGTCAAACTTTGTTCATCGTCCACACCTTTATCCAGTACACAGTGTGGACCAAATTAAGATATCCTAATCACCTGGCTATCCTTTTTTGTCTAGCCCATTATAACTTCACGCTATATATATCTTACTCTCAGTCTCAAACGTCAGCTCAGGATCAAGCACCGTAAGTGTCACTTCTAGATGTTTTCTGTACACTATGTAACTGTAAAATACATTGTGCTTGTCTCCCCCGTAGTATCAGTTGTAACCAACCCCTTGTCAATGTAGCTAGGAATGGAATTTCAAAATGCAGAATGAATTTTTCTTGCATTGGTCAAGTCTTTTCACTCATCATTTTCTTTGTTTATTTTGTGCATGATCATCGTGTTTCTCTATGCTTACATGTGAAGAATTTGAACTGTACAATGTATTGACAATGTCTTACTGATGATATGTACCTTTCTTTAAAAGCTGCTGGATTTTCTTGTCTGTGGTCATGAAAACCTGTCAATCAAATGTGACGTTACTTAGATATACACATAGCTCAGGATCATACATTGACATTGTAAGATTCTGTTTATCACATATGGCAATAACAGCAATGGTCAGACTGTTTTAAAATCTAAATGACAATATTCTCACCCCATATCTCTTTATTTGGTGACTGCACAACATTGACATCACTCTATTATGATGTCACAATGAAAGCTACCTTTAACCAATCACAGCTCTGCTACATGAATGCTGTTATTACACTGATAACAGGACTGTTATGTGATAAACTTCTTTATTTATTGACACAAGCAATCCTAATCAATATTCTTGCATGAAGACTGTTTTTACCTGAGTTGTGTATGACCCCATTTCCTGGTGGATGTTTTTATCACTAGTAATGGTTGTCTTCAGTAACTTGTTGCATGCCTTTTTTCTGTTTTTTTTGGTTGGGGTTTACATTATGAGGGATTAGTTTTTAGGCCGATGTTTGGTACCTGTTTAGTATTGTGAGGTTTTATTCAACTAATTTGTGTGATGTTGATCTTAATTATATTCAACAGATTATTAAAGATAAACCTAACAAAAGATAGATTTCCTGTACAACTGGGTAGTCATTTCACCCATTGCTTTTTTTATCCTAACTTGCGTTCATCCTATTCAGTCTTTAAGTGGGTTTTAACTTACAGTAGACAACTCGAACATTCTGTTTTAATTCACATTAAGCCATTTGATTATTGTAGAAAGTTTCATAGTCTAATGTATATCTAGATATTAAGAAGAAACCAGCATCATGCAGTGTTTATTACATTTTGCTTTTACATGTAATACACACACTTCAGTCTGGGCCAAGAACAGATTGTAATGAAGATGATGGCTTGCTGTAAAATAAGTTTTTATTTTTGTGCTATGTTTTACATGTAATTGATATTAAATTTGACAACTTTGTTTCTGTTTATCAAGGGATTTAACAACAGTGTTAGAAATATTGAAATGTTCAGCAGTTATTTATTTATATGTGATACTTAAAAGGTAAAATTAATTGCCTGATTATGATTTCAAAAATAGAAAAATATTTGATTAAGAAAACTTCAAACAATTTAAAACTTTTTTTTTATGTTTTTATTGATGTGTATTGATATCAGAACAGATTCTAAATATTTGATTCAAGGAATCAGTTTGCTAAAATGTTCAATGTCGTTTCAGGCCCGTGACAAGTTGATGGCTGAAAATGCAAAACTGGAGGCCAAATTGGAGGCTAGCAATGACCAAATTGTCACTCTCAAATCTCATGTGGGGATGATTCGTAAAAACACCATCACATTCATTCTTGAGCAGATGGATGCTCTTCACATTCAGCGGGATACTGAAGTGTGACAACATGCAGGGCTGCAAGGATTAACAAGTGCTAATAACTGTGACATACAGAAGTGAAGCTACAAAGAAATGATCAATATGGGATCCATGTTACACCATGTTTGTATCTTTAGAACAACAACAAAGTTCCCATGTTATAAGGATACCACCCATAGCAAGGGGAGGTAACTCCCACACCTTCAGTATGTCAGTACGAAAGAAGGCGACTGAGAATTTTGGTGTTTAAGTGGGACACATTCCTATGTTTTGTCTTACAAACATGAGAATAGACGGAGGAAGAAAAAGGAATCACTGTTTAAGTGACAATAACTGTAAAATGGCAGCCATGTTGGATCTCAGTGGAAATGATTTGTGTGTACCACCATTGATGAGCGGACCACATGACAGAAATGATGTGACTGAGAGCTTCTGTACATCCTGCTCACTGTTTAACAACAGTAGTATGCTACCAATTGTTGTGAACTATTGGCTGTGAAAGCATTATCATATAAAAAAAACTTATTTTGTTGTTCCTGCAGATGAGTTTTTGCAGGCATGGAGCTCAGTGGAGTTTTTAGCTTTATGACACTGCTTGTATGTGATGTTAGGGTGCAGATTTACAGAACGCCAATATAACCGAAAGAAAAATATCAAAACCACAAATCTCCTAAAAAGAACTCACACTTACAACTTATTTAAAAAGAGTTGTGAAAGAAAACCAAGAAATGATGGAACAATTAGCCATAAGGTTGAACCACAGTGAATTACGTGTTACAATAAATACTGAATTATCTGTGGGTTTATTGCTTGAGTTACAAGCTTGTCTGTGACGTGGAATACATGTGGAAAGTAACAAACGGTTTAGGATTTGGAAGTACTAGTGATATCATGTGGTACAGTACAAGTTATAATCATGTTGACAAAAGAGTTCCAACTGGAAAGTGATATGGCAAAAAATTATTGTCTTCAGAAAATTGTCTTTGTACATTTTCTTTTATGGCATATATATGACAAAAAACATTTTCAATTCAACAATACCTCGATTTCTAGGTCAAGGATTAGCTAGGCCTATGTGTGGAAATTTCTCCTTATATCAAGGAAGTATGCCACACTGGGATGCTTTCCTGTCCATACGAGTCTGTCGCTTCTGACGCAGCATTCCTGTGATACTAACCCTTGTGACACAGGGGGATATCTGGGTACAATGACCGACTTGGGGGCCAGACATTCTCATAGCCATTAGATGGAGTCTGTAGTCACCAAGGGATAGTCCTTAGTTACCAAGGGACATTATGTGTACTGACTGTTCTTCCCAAGTGTTGCTGTATGATGCAGCAAGAACTTGACTTTGTTAGTTTCACATGACCCTGACCTTGGAATCTATTGAATTCTCATGACATTGTCCTTGGATATTTCCTCTTGACCTTGGAATTTTCACATGACCTCGGTTGTAATTTCACCTCATTTGTGTATCGTGTTACCTTTACTTTTGTTGGATGAGAACTTTGATAGCATATGCTGAGTTAGATGTATTATTAAAAGAAATACTTTTAAAACAAATTGTTATGTGACTACATTGAACTATTCCATATTTGATAGAACAGACCACATTTTATTACAAAGTTATAAGGAGTATTTTTATATATTTATCAGAGGAACAAGATGACCTTGACCTCAGCCTGTGATGTACATACAAATCTATATATATATAGATTGATGGGCTATTTTTAGAAATCTCTGATAAATGTGTCAAAGATGGACTCAGATTAATTCTGAAATGAACCTCATCATTTTTGGGCATCTTAAACAGTAGCTTCTGGACAGAGATCTCAGTTCTGGATAAGAACAGTATTGATAGACTTAAATCAGAAATCAGTGTCATCATGTACCAGCCATTTTTCTTTTTTAATCATGGACCTCAAATACATCAAATGATTTATTATTCTTACTGGTATGTTTTCTTCCTTTCTTCTTTTATAAAATCAAAAGCGTTTCTATTGTTTTATTGAATCCTTTATATGACACTTTGGATTGATTTCTTTCCACCTTTTCTGTATTCTACAATTGATTCTGTCAGATTGATTTGCGATGTACATTGATCATTAGACATTTTATATCATATTTATTCTACCAAAGTTAATTATTTCATTGTGTGTTTGTGATAATTTCATATATACTCTTATATTATAGTCTGAATTTTCTCACGACTCTAAATTTTTAGTGTCAGTGATGACTTAGGAAAAAGGAGGAGTTTTTTCTTTTTTAATCATACATTTGGTGACCTTTATTAAGCAAAAACTGATTTTTATCAATGTTACTGAGCTCTAATAGACTATATATGGAATTTCAATCAACTTTAAAAATCAGAAGATTTTATGAAATTTAATGAGACTGAATGTGATATTATTTATTTGTTAAGAAACTACACTTGTCTTTAAAACATCATAGTTATGTACAAGGGGTTAATACACATATGTAAATAGTGTTTTAATGAAAACAGGTTACATGATGTAGACGCCAACCTATATATAGTTTAAGTGCAATAAGATTAAATATATTTACATGTTTTTTATAAAAGATTGAAGCGGGGAGGATGTGACTGTGTTAGGGAAGCTGTTGTGATTTAGATTTGTTAACCTGTATTACTTAAGTTTACCTGTGGTAAGAGCAGGTGCCTTAACGTAGAATGGAGCACAATGTTATACAGAAAGGACTTCCAGAGGTGATCTTTTTGTAAAATCAAACAGACAGCCCTAACATTAAGTGATACTGATATTTTTCTTACCTGTATCTACCATACACTTGTAAATATGTTTCAGTATTGAGAAATTTATTGCTGGGCTCATCATCACTAACTTTACCACTAGCTACAATATTCAATAATTACTCAATATCCATTATGATAAGGTGCTGGTATTATGTTACCTGATATTGACAGTTTTAAATAACTTAATTACTCTGATTTACATGCATATATATTTTCTAAGAGGAACATTGAAATTATTTTCATTGGTTACACAATTTAGGATTCGCACTAAACCCATCATAGATTCCAGCAGATGTGATGACCCCAGTTAAAATGTCTTCACAATCATATGTGTGATTAGTTTCTTCTTTACTGCACCATGGAACAGTTTACTCTTGTATGTAATGTCGCATAAGTGAAATGTGCAAAATGCCACAACCTTTAAAGATATGCTTAACTAGAAAAACAAAAGTTTTATATGGAAGTCAAAATACAAATCATTGATAGAAAAAAATTGTCATTTCTGGCATCCTTGATAAAATGTGCTAGAAGTTATTCTTGAAAGTGTTTTTTATACAAGAGATCAGTAAACAACTAATACTTAAACAATCAATCTATAACAATCTTCTCAAGCTCAGTCTTGTAAATACCTGTTATTTGTAGAAGGATCTATTTTCTTGGTAGTTGAAAGATATTTTTTGTAAAATCGGCCCAGACCAATTATTAGATTCCTGGGAATGAAAATGAATGAATGTTCTTGATTTTCTCAAAATGACAATCTTAGTAAAAAGTCTTCTAAAAAAATTTAACAAATCAGTGATGAAATTCATACATGGTGGGTCTACTGGAAAGGTACTTTGTTACATCAAATTTTTCAAGATGTTAAAATACAAGAAAATATTATTTAATCGTTAAATGATTTAAATATATGTGAAATGCAAGAACACAATTTTCATGTTGAAGATTTTGTTATTGCTAAATGCACTTTCTTGAAGTAACCAGATATGTTGATTATTTCCCCATCAGAACTGATGTTTACAGATGTAGAAAGGCAGCAGAATGTTCTCCCGTGGACAAGATGGATTTTGAAATGGTTTTGATAATTTCATATTTGTTAAGTTTCAATTAGTCAGCTTACAAAATTATGAAGAATTCAATTTTTTTTAATATATAACCTGATTATTTTTTTAATTATTAATACAGTAATGTTACTATCTAAACCTGTGGGTAAAAAGTGTTTTGTTCTAGTAAAGGGAGATAACCAGTCAGCAATCTTGTCAGTGACCCATTTGTAACAAAGAAACACCCAAGTTTTATTGCCAGAATAACTTTCAAGTTTTGTAACATTAGAAAAAGCTCAATTTTTACAACATATTAAATATTTTGTATAACATTCCATCAACAGTATCATGATTTTATATTATTTTGACCAAAACAAATCTTGTCACATTGAATTTTTTTGTCATTTTTAATTGAACTTCAATCTACTGCTGTAAATTTGAACAAAACCTGTCATGTTTTTTATGGAGAGACATTTTTTTTATATATTTGTACAATGGTGCACACCAATCAGGTGAACCAGACAGATACTGGAATAGATCTGCAATGTATAATTTCATCCTTTTCCCAGAAAAATCTGGAGATCAAATTTTATTTGATATTAGTGTTACATAATATATTCTTATCTGACCAAATCATAGTTGACTGAGGATAAAGTTTCATTTTCAGCTTCATCTTTACCAACATGTTGTTGTTGTATATGAAAGTTTTCTCATCATTCCGCGATCCTACCTGTTGATACATTCCGCGGAAATCTGTAGTAGTCGTGTATTTTATGTACTAGAACCACCTCATGGGGTATGCATGCTGGCATTGCAGAACAAATCCATGATAAAGACTTAATTTATTCTGTTTCACCCAACATTCTCTTAATTCAATGTTTTGTCGTTTCATCTAAAATCTATTTGCAGTGGATAACTTAAATTTAACCAAAGTCTTTAATTAATCAGATATACTCTCAACTTTAGAAAATATTAACGAAAAAAGTCCTTTCATCACTTGTTTCTAAAATGTATATTTTTTGCAAAAGCAGATATAATTGATCAGTCCATCTTTAACATAAAAAAATTCAACTGTATTAAATTTAAAACACAGTATTTTATATAGGATATTTAATCTCTTTTTTGTAGAGATTTCAAAATTGCATTTTTGATTTCAATTGAAAACTGACAAAAATAAGCCTTGAATTGATGTTGGGTGATGATAAGTTATTTGTGTTTGTTATGTATATAAATGAGTGATGTATTGGGTGATGTTTTCATGTGTAGTCAAGCGTGTCCGAGTGATATAAAAACAAGCAATAGACATGAGGAAACCTGCCTATAACAATAGATTTGTTAATGTCTGTACTAGGTTGTATTTGTGAGGAGTATAAGGGTCAGTATGTGTAAAGGTGTGTGTATGTGAGAGTGAAGTTTGGGACATATGTGCAAACAAGACATGAATGTGCGGTAGGTCTACAGAATTTTTACTACTGTTGTGATGTACACAAACATGGGTGCTTCGTTCAATAGAGATGACAAATTCAAACATCTATGTCAATAAATTTATAGAAAAACTACAAGATTGTTTGTTGTGTTGATTGATCTGTTCAGGGATCAAGAGCGTTATTTTATCAGCTATCACAACGATGTCTGAACAATCCAAGTCCTACTTAATGTACATTATGGTCTCTGGTTTCCAAAGTCTCTAAAGTCTCAGATATAGCCCTATAGATGTGACCCAATTTTCCCTCCAGATATAGCTCAGGTCTTTCTACAGATGTGACCCAAGTCTCCCTCCAGATATAGCTCAGGTGTCTTTACAGATGTGACCCAAGTCTCCCTCCAGATATAGTTCATGTGTCTATGGATGTGACCCAAGTCTCCCTCCAGATATAGCTCAGGTGTCTTTACAGATGTGACCCAAGTCTCCCTCCAGATATAACTCGTATCTCTCTCCAGATATAGCTGATGTGTCTATAGATATGACCCATGGCTTCCTCCAGATATAGCTCGTATCTCTCTTCAGATATAGTTCAGGTCTCCCTCCAGATAAGGCTGATGTGTCTTGACAGATGTGACCCATGTCTTCCTCCAGATATAGCTGATATGTCTATAGATATGACCCAAGTCTCCCTCCATATATAGCTCAGGTCTCCCTCCAGATATAGCTGATGTATCTATAGATGTGACCCAAGTCTCCCTCCATATATAGCTCAGGTCTCCCTCCAGATATAGCTGATGTTTCTATAGATGTGACCCAAGTCTCCCTCCATATATAGCTCAGGTCTCCCTCCAGATATAGCTGATGTGTCTATAGATATGACCCAAGTCTCCCTCCAGATATAGCTTGTATCTCTCTCCAGATATAGCTGATGTGTATATAGATATGACCCAAGTCTCCCTCCATATATAGCTCAGGTCTGCCTCCAGATATAGCTGATGTGTCTATAGATATGACCCAAGTCTCCCTCCAGATATAGCTTGTATCTCTCTCAAGATATAGCTCATGTCTCTATAGATATGACCAAGGTCTCTCTCCTAATGTGACTAAAATATAGATGATTGAATACTTTGCCTTGTTTACACTGTGTATTAAGACAAAACATAACAATAAACTGATAAAGGTAATTCCCCATTTAATTACTATAAAATCTTAACTTTCTTCACCAATGTTATTGTAACACTGATGTATTTAACAATATTATACATCTGAGAAAGTAAAAATTTAAATAAATTATTTAGCCTAACCTTTACAGCATAACAATATTCTGACAAAACATTTTCCAGAATAGAAACAAGGAAATAAATACTGTATAAAAATTTCAAGCCATGGTATAACATCACCCTCATTTAAATGAAGACCTATCAAACCACATCAGCAAGCGTAACTATCTTCTTGCAGGACTGAATTTTTAATGTACAGGTGTGTTTGGGCTATTCTATGACTGTTCAGTGATAAGTCTATCTTTAAGAACAAGATACTTTATGGTCAACTGGTTATAGTATTCACAATTTGTGTAGGCTTTGGGGGTGAAAAGGGGTGGGGGTCAATATTTGATTTAAGACTGTAGTTTTTTGTGGTTCCAGCTAAATAACTTCTGGTTTAAAGGATTCAGTTGAAAAAAATTGTCAAAAACTAAGAAGGAGAGGTCACAGTAAATCTTTTTATGACTGACGTATGAGCTGGGTCAGGATTATTTTATCAAAATTTTACACCCAATTATATCCCATTAATGATATGACAAGAGAGTTCTATCACAAGACCACTAGAGTTACCTCCCTTCATTATACACCTGCTAACAAAGATTTGAGATGGTAGTGATCAGGCCAAAAAATTGCTACATTATGATTCATCAGTGGCTCAATTTACTCTTGACCATATTGGATACTGCTTTATTTGAATAGAAACTTCAAGAATAAAATGTCTTCTTTAATCCAAAACAGTTAAACTTTTGTTTATTTCACTCTTTTACTGATAAGGAGGACAAAAGCAGACTCAAGTTTAGTGAGCAGAAATACAGTTTCTCTGTAATTCAGGGCAAATTCAATGCTGCAAAAATCAAGTTTAATGTAAAGGTGAAATACGGAAATAGATATGTGTACTTTCAAATAAATAATACAGCAATATATATGTGGCCTATTTGTTTGGTGTCACATGGATTCAGTCTCACTTGAAGGCAACCCTACCTGGTATGGACTTTCATTATTGCATCAACAGCCTTTGTTTAAAATGAAAATTGATAGTTTGAAGTATCTTAAATTTCCTGAACAATTTCATTAAAACTGAGATGAACTGTATCTAGTAGTTGACCTCATAATTGAGTTTACCTATCCATGTTGACTTTGATGTTACCTTGAATTCAATTATCTAACAAGACTGTTCTCCCTTTGAAATAAGGTGACAAGCTTATTAGTCATGTACTTTGATTTCCAGGTCCTTCTATCTTGTTTCCAGTAATTCAGCATATGCTGAGTTTGTATGCATGGATGTGGATTGAAACATGATTAATTTTGGTGTCAAGAGTGATTTGTTGATCTTGTTCAGTGTTTTCCAAAGAAGCTATCAATAGTCTTGGAGTTTGTCTGTTTGGTTTTAAGTTTTTTGTTTTTTGTTGGCGAAGTGCTCTGATGTTTACGCTTGGCCAGCAAAGGAGTTTTATATGCCATAGACTTCTGTAAGTCTTGTGCAAAGTGGAAATCCATATGTTCTGGTAAATCCCAAACCAGGATTCTCTTCTGGCATTTCTCACAAGGAACATAATCATCATCAGACTTCACATCTGGAGCTAAATCAGAAATACTGATCTCAGTAGAATTGCTTGAATGAGAATTCGGGGATAGTGATGTCATGGTTGATTGGATTTTAGGAGTAAATGTTTGTAATGTTGACTCCAGAATGTTGAGTGGAAGTCTTGGCTTCAGATATTCCTCTACAACACTTTCAGACCAGCTCTCCTTCTGTCTATTAGGGGTACAGGTATTCATTAGCACTGAATTACTGGATTCAGAGCAAGTTGTATTAGGAACAATGTTTGATTCTGATTTACCACAGTTCCTCATAGCAAAAAATCCCTTCTTTTCACTTTTGTCCACCACACCAGTACCAGCATTGGTTTCTACTCGCTTCGAGATGTGATTTTGATCTCCAGCCTGAGAAACCGGAGATGTTTGTACATTGTTCCCATCACTACATGCTTTTGTAAAGAAACTTTGTATTCCAACCAAATTGATTTGTTTATGTGGAGGACTCACTGTATCCTTGTTCAGAAGTCCCAATGCACTTGGTTTTCTTTGTGAGGACAGATCACCAAAACTTGTGTCCAAGGTTGAATCCTTCCCATTGTCTAAACAATCTGATTCTGAGGACTCAACACTAGACTTGAAGAATGAAGCAATGCTTTCTTTCTGTCCTTGAGAAGCTGGTAGAGGCAATGTTTCTCTGTTTTTGTTGCCTAGAAATGCTGTAATGGCACCTCCATTTGACTCATCCTGAAATTTACCAGCAGAAAGTCCCAGGCAAATAATGGCAGGTATCCTGGAACAAACAAAATACTTGGCTCATGGGGACTACTTTAAAAATACATTTTCAAAAATCAGTTAAGAATGCATTTCACTGGAAAGTATTTTTTAACAAAATATTCATCAGTTCCCTTAATGTCATCTGTAACGAGTAATGTCGTCTGTAATGAGTAATGTCGTCTGTAACGAGTAATGTCGTCTGTAACGAGCATTGTCGTCTGTAACGAGTAATGTCGTCTGTAACGAGTAATGGGAAACATGATATGAAGTTTTAAATATTGATGTTGTTATTGCATTCACTCTTTCCCTTAATATCACTCTAGGAAATTGCTGTAATGTTAAAGACATATAATACTACTACTTCGGCATCTTATATAAACAAGACCCAAAAATCTCAACTAGTCTAATCATCAACCAGCAAAAACAGCGTAAAGAAGTGAAACCCAGCTTCACAAGTTTTCCCAAAGCCTTACTGATCAACTGATTCCTAACTTGAAGTTCTCAGAGAATTTTATTTAAAGAAGGCAGAATAAGACAGATGACAAAGCTGGAGGGCTAAAGCCTTACCACACAGCTTGATGAGGAGCGGAGGTGTTGAACTTCTGAAGTAGGGCAAGGGCATCTTCCTCAATCTTCTTCCTGTCGTATCGTGTCAGTGCACATACTCTTGTGGCAGACACAGATGACGGGTTGCTACGGTATCGTATGCTAACAGTCAATGAGCGTCCCACTCTTTTATTCTGAAATGACACAAAAATCTAGACGATACATAATCTACATGTCTCTACAAATTTCTCTGCCCTCTGACTTTGGAAAATTGAACTAAAAATGCTAGATATATTCAGAGTAGGGACAGTAAATATAATACACTCTGGTATATCTCAAAAGGAACATGCTTCAAAATCTAAAAAAAAAACCACAAAAATAACAAAACACATACACAACATTGCATGACTAACAGTACTAACGACATGTCAATTTTCAAGACTGAAATCCAAGAATCAATACATATGCAGTTGTATTTACCAATACCAACCTAACAAACTGACCAAATGGAACTGAACAAGTCAATGTGGTTAGTAAATTATACTGAGTACAAGAAAACAAGGTGGGACAAGTTGGACATCTAGTAGTAATTAAAGCTGTTGACGTACATGTTTGCATGGCTTTATAAATATTTGGTCTGCCCAGTATAACTCAAGTCAATAGGGTATTAATACAATACAGACCAGTTTTTAAAAAATCACAATACTCGGACATTGTGTCATATTATGTTGTGTTTCTTAATAATTTGGGTGCTTCTGACTTTGATTTTCATTCTGTCTATATTGGAACACATTGACCAGATTTCAGTTTTCTTACAGTGCATATACATAGAAAAGATAATATTTCAACAGGATTACTCATTAGATTTATGATACAATTCATAATGACAGTAAAATCATAAAGAATACGAAAATCAAGTTTTGCATATCTAAAATTCCTGTGTGACAATTTTCATCACACTATGGCAGATTAAACTAGATTTCACAGTTACAGCCTGTGTTCACAGTTAAAGGCTATGTTCACAGTTACAGCCTGAGGTCACAGTTACAGCTTGTGTTCAAAGTTACAGCCTGTGTTCACAGTTACATTTAAAGCCTGTGTTCACAGTTACAGCCTGTGTTCACAGTTACAGCCTGTGTTCACAGTTAAAGCCTGTGTGCACAGTTACAGCCTGTGTTCACAGTTAAAACCTGTGTGCACAGTTAAAGCCTGTGTTCACAGTAAAAGCCTGTGTTCACAGTTACAGCCTGTATTCAGTTAAAGCCTGTGTTCAGTTACAGCCTATGTTCACAGTTACAGCCTGTATTCACAGTTAAAGCCTGTGTTTACAGTTAAAGCCTGTGTTCACAGTTACAGCCTGTGTGCACAGTTACAGCCTGTGTGCACAGTTACAGCCTGTGTGCACAGTTAAAGCCTATGTTCACAGTTACAGCCTGTGTTCACAGTTAAATACTGTGTTCACAGTTACAGCCTGTGTTCACAGTTACAGTCTGTGTTCAGTTAAATACTTTGTTCACAGTTACAGCCTGTGTTCACAGTTAAATACTTTGTTCACAGTTACAGCCTGTGTTCACAGTTAAATACTTTGTTCACAGTTACAGCCTGTGTTCACAGTTAAATACTTTGTTCACAGTTACAGCCTGTGTTCACAGTTAAATACTTTGTTCACAGTTACAGCCTGTGTTCACAGTTAAATACTTTGTTCACAGTTACAGCCTGTGTTCACAGTTACAGCCTGTGTTCACAGTTAAATACTTTGTTCACAGTTACAGCCTGTGTTCACAGTTAAATACTTTGTTCACAGTTACAGCCTGTGTTCACAGTTAAATACTTTGTTCACAGTTACAGCCTGTGTTCACAGTTAAATACTTTGTTCACAGTTACAGCCTGTGTTCACAGGTACAGCCTGTGTTCACAGTTAAATACTTTGTTCACAGTTACAGCCTGTGTTCACAGTTAAATACTTTGTTCACAGTTACAGCCTGTGTTCACAGGTACAGCCTGTGTTCACAGTTAAATACTCTGTTCACAGTTACAGCCTGTGTTCACGGTTACAGCCTGTGTTCACAGGTACAGCCTGTGTTCACAATTAAATACTTTGTTCACAGTTACAGCCTGTGTTCACAGTTAAATACTTTGTTCACAGTTACAGCCTGTGTTCACGGTTACAGCCTGTGTTCACAGGCACAGCCTTTATTGTCTGAGAAAATATTTAGATCAACTACTCATAACTTACCATTTCTTTATCCTTGTCAAGTCTCTCAACAATCTCCCCTGACAACTCTGCCAACCAGAACCTCACCTGTAAAAAAACTTTTGATATAATTATGTCTGTTGATGCCTTACTGAATGTGTGAATGATTGAATATAATGAGAATGGATTGACAACTTTATTCGAGGATTTATCTCCCTTGTCTTGCTTTTGGCTTGAAAATGCATATCTGAATTATTGTATTTTCAGTTTATTAGGTGAGTTTATCGCAACGAGAACAGCTCGGGTCAATTTGGGACAGGGTCTCCTTGTAGTAGCTGGTAGTTATCTCACTGAACAACATACAGGAGGCTCATTATATGTCATCCAGAGCAATTAGGGTAAATTGTTTTGTCCCTGGACAATATTATGTCAGCAAATCACCAATTAGGCTCACAGACACACAAACTTTAATAAGTAGGTATCATTGCACCAAAGAACTAAGGTTACAAAGGCCAACACTGTAAAGACTGAGGTTATGAAGGCCAACACTAACGACTGAGGTTACGAAGGCAAACACTGTAACCGGCTGAGGTTTCAAATTCAAATATATAATCTTTGGAACAGTGTATATAAAGAATATTTTTAAATATTTTTTTTAATCATTGAAAGATATTGCTTTTGTATATGTTTAATTCATGTACCTTATCTCGGGTATCCAAAGCTTCTTTGCCTCGAAAATTTTTGCTACATCCTATAGACTTCGGCAGCTGTCTGGCAGACACAGGTTCTCTCTCTGTCCCTCGACAAACTTCATACAGCCAGTACCTGGGAAAACAGAGCCCAGCAGCTGTTATGTTTGTAGCTGTCAAATCACTAAGTCAGTGTTCATAACAAGGCGTCCATTATCATGTTATGTTTAATATATAGTAGTAACACAAATATACATCCTATGTAGGAACATTCTTTGTTCTTGTTTGGGTACAAGTTGTTATGTATCTGTCATGTAATTGTTAACATACATAAGTCATGAGAGCTGGTAACAATTTTCAACTAAATTAGAACTGCCATCCTTGTACCTCCCAACCCCGCCCCCACAAACTTGAACTGTCATCCTAATACCTCCTAACCCCACCCCCACAAACTAGAACTGTCATCCTTATACCTCCCATCCCCACCCCCACAAACTAGAACTGTCATCCTAATACCTCCCATCCCCACCCCCACAAACTAGAATTGTCATCCTAATACCTCCCATCCCCACCCCCACAAACTAGAACTGTCATCCTTATACCTCCCATCCCCACCCCCACAAACTAGAACTGTCATCCTAATACCTCCCATCCCCACCCCCACAAACTAGAACTGTCATCCTAATACCTCCCATCCCCACCCCCACAAACTAGAACTGTCATCCTTGTACCTCCCATCCCCACCCCCACAAACTAGAACTGTCATCCTTATACCTCCCATCCCCACCCCCACAAACTAGAACTGTCATCCTAATACCTCCCATCCCCACCCCCACAAACTAGAACTGTCATCCTAATACCCACCCCCACAAACTAGAACCATCCCCACCCCCACAAACTAGAACTGTCATCCTAATACCTCCCATCCCCACCCCCACCTAGAACTGTCATCCTTATACCTCCCATCCCCACCCCCACAAACTAGAACTGTCATCCTAATACCTCCCATCCCCACCCCCACAAACTAGAACTGTCATCCTTATACCACCTAACCCCACCCCCACAAACTAGAACTGTCATCCTTATACCTCCTAACCCCACCCCCACAAACTAGAACTGTCATCCTTATACCACCTAACCCCACCCCCACAAACTAGAACTGTCATCCTTATACCTCCCATCCCCACCCCCACAAACTAGAACTGTCATCCTTATACCTCCCATCCCCACCCCCACAAACTAGAACTGTCATCCTTATACCTCCTAACCCCACCCCCACAAACTAGAACTGTCATCCTAATACCACCTAACCCCACCCACACAAACTAGAACTGTCATCCTAATACCTCCCATCCCCACCCCCACAAACTAGAACTGTCATCCTTATACCTCCCATCCCCACCCCCACAAACTAGAACTGTCATCCTAATACCTCCCATCCCCACCCCCACAAACTAGAACTGTCATCCTAATACCTCCCATCCCCACCCCCACAAACTAGAACTGTCATCCTTATACCTCCCATCCCCACCCCCACAAACTAGAACTGTCATCCTTATACCTCCCATCCCCACCCCCACAAACTAGAACTGTCATCCTTATACCTCCCATCCCCACCCCCACAAACTAGAACTGTCATCCTTATACCTCCCATCCCCACCCCCACAAACTAGAACTGTCATCCTTATACCTCCTAACCCCACCCCCACAAACTAGAACTGTCATCCTTATACCTCCCATCCCCACCCCCACAAACTAGAACTGTCATCCTTATACCACCACCCCACCCCCACAAACTAGAACTGTCATCCTAATACCTCCCATCCCCACCCCCACAAACTAGAACTGTCATCCTTGTACCTCCCATCCCCACCCCCACAAACTAGAACTGTCATCCTTGTACCTCCCATCCCCACCCCCACAAACTAGAATTGTCATCCTTATACCACCTAACCCCACCCACACAAACTAGAACTGTCATCCTTATACCACCTAACCCCACCCCCACAAACTAGAACTGTCATCCTTATACCACCTAACCCCACCCCCACAAACTAGAACTGTTATCCTTATGCCACCTAACCCCACCCCCACAAACTAGAACTGTCATCCTTATACCACCTAACCCCGCCCCCACAAACTAGAAATGTCATCCTTATACCACCTAACCCCACCCCCACAAACTAGAACTGTCATCCTTATACCACCTAACCCCACCCCCACAAACTAGAACTGTCATCCTTATACCTCCTAACCCCACCCCCACAAACTAGAACTGTCATCCTTATACCACCTAACCCCACCCCCACAAACTAGAATTGTCATCCTTATACCTCCTAAACCCACCCACACAAACTAGAACTGTCATCCTTATACCTCCTAACCCCACCCCCACAAACTAGAACTGTCATCCTTATACCACCTAACCCCACACCCACAAACTAGAATTGTCATCCTTATACCACCTAACCCCACACCCACAAACTAGAATTGTCATCCTTATACCACCTAACCCCACCCCCACAAACTAGAATTGCCATCCTCATACCTCTCTCATCTACCCTGATGCAAAAAGATTATATATCAATTATTTTAGTGGCAGGTCTTCTAAAATTTGATGTATAACCTTGAATTTTCCTATCTCCTTACCATATACCAAGTAAAAAGCAACTTTCTCAAACTGTTCCTTCTCAAAACCAATCATCTCTTGATGCACAATGTTGATGTAAGGAATGATATCCTCTTTATAATAGTAAAAAAAAATTTCCCAATACCGATTCCTGTTAATTCTGAATACTGGATCAATACCTTTGGTGCACCACAGTGTCACAATACATGTCATAATACCCACCCTGATTAGGAGAATTATAATAAACAATATATATAGTCATCTTCAATGACAAAATGAAACAATATCAAATGAATCCATCGATCAATTTACCAAAGCTAGAAACATCGATGAGAAAATAAGTATTAATGCATAGTTAAAAAGCCAGTTTTGCATCTAAATTGTGGGTAATTGAATAATGTTATTTCATTATGTACAAAATGGAAACATCTGTAGTGTTGTTTTAACATATCATTTTTGATACTGCTAAAAACCATCTATTTATCAAATATATGGGTTAAAAACACTCTAAGAGAAGCAGACCTTCTGACCTGGGCTAGGTTAGGCTAAATGTGACATTAGTTCCAAGATTGCAGGGCATTGTGTGTAAATTTGTAAATGATGAAAGTGAACAGAATGATTAATGTAAAGTCCGTTCAATTATATCAGAATCCAGATCAGTCCGCTTGGTTTACTTTTACAAACCAAATCCTACCTAAAGCAGGTATTTATGTCCCTTGCATGGTATATATATATATGTATTATAAAAGTTATGGGTCATTACACAAGCACACATCTTATGATCCCTAATATTCTTGTGTAACTTAACTGAAATTGATTGAAAAGTTTAGAAAGAAAGAAAGAAAGAAAGAAAGAAAGAAAGAAAGAAAGAAAGAAAGAAAGACAAGTTGATCCCAGTATACCCCAACTACTTCATCACATAGACTATAAAAAAACATCAGCTGACTACAGTATCTTCACAGAAAATGGAAGAAGAAAAAGAAAACAGAAAAAGCTTGAGCTCACATAGATATACCTTACCACCTTATCTTCTTATTTTCAGCTCACATAGATATACCTTACTACCTTATCTTCTTATTTTCAGCTCACATAGATATACCTTACCACCTTATCTTCTTATTTTCAGCTCACATAGATATACCTTACTACCTTATCTTCTTATTTTCAGCTCACATAGATATACCTTACCACCTTATCTTCTTGTTTTCAGCTCACATAGATATACCTTACTACCTTATCTTCTTATTTTCAGCTCACATAGATATACCTTACTACCTTATCTTCTTATTTTCAGCTCACATAGATATACCTTACTACCTTATCTTCTTATTTTCAGCTCACATAGATATACCTTACTACCTTATCTTCTTATTTTCAGCTCACATAGATATACCTTACTACCTTATCTTCTTATTTTCAGTTCACATAGATATACCTTACTACCTTATCTTCTTATTTTCAGCTCACATAGATATACCTTACTACCTTATCTTCTTATTTTCAGTTAAGTAACCATTATCTGATTTTGTTTCAAATTAATTCATCTACAAACAAATATTGTACCCTGTTTTGTCACCATAATACTGCTGGAGTTCTTTAACAGTAAAACGACAGAGGTCACCAATATTTTCCACCTGGAGTTGTTCCATAACAGATTGCCCAAGCTTCCCTCCAAGATGTCGTCTGTTGTGTAAGATAATAATACAAATCACATTGACTTTTCAAGCTTTCCGTTCCAATGTTACAATCAAGAAGCAACAGAGTTGCTAATTTTACTGTTTTGCTTTTCAAGTTCAGATCAGCATTTCATAGTCTGGTGACTTTTAATAATGATTTTTTTTATGTAATTTCCTGAACATACTATCATCCATTCAAAACATTTATAAGATCAAAACAAAACCACAAGGCGTAACCGAAGAAAAGATGACTAGGAAATTGTGTGTCTTCAACTTTATTATCTTCTTGGGGCTCTCACTCATTGTTGCTGTACACATAGCAAAAATTCATTCGTTTGGCCATTAGAATTTCAGGAAATTCTTTTCCCCATTTAGATAATAACTAAATTTTACATGTTCAATCGGATAATAACATGTTATCATTTAAGTTTCAGATCAGGTTAAATTATAGGAAGTTAATGTGTTATGTGAATGTTTTTGTAAGGTATACACATGGTGAGTAGCCCCAAAGAAGAGCCAAATGTATTTATTATGACAATCTTGTTATGTAGTGTTTTAAATAATAAATAGTATGTAAACCCTAACTATGGCGTTTCTTATGTTGTGTATAAAATGGAAATTTATTTAATTTGAGTTTGAATAAACTGTGAAACTTTCTCATTAAAGGAGACTTACATTTTAGTTAGAGGAAGTGTACTGAACAGGCCAGAAACAGAGTCTTGGGGGATAACCGTCTGCTTATTTGGTTTGTGGAAACCACACACAAGCTTAGCCAGCATCTGACAAAAAGATCAGAAATATATGAAGAATTGGTATAACAGGAACAGTGGGTTTATAAGACTTTCAATTTTTTAACCTTTGACAAAATAAGTACATCAATGAAAACCACTTACATCTCTCTGACACTTTGCCTGTCAGACGATGTCTGGCTGTTGTCACCAACATACCAAGAGTGACAATTCATCACTACCTTTGCCTTTCAGAAACAGGAGTTGAACAAAAATGTCTGTGTGTGAATACTGATAATTGAAGTACTGATTTATATACATTGACTTCAATGTAAGGTAATTCAAGGTCGAAAGATCAATTAACCTATAAACTGTTTACCTGTAAACATTAATTATACACCTGTACACTGTTTACCTGTAAACATTAATTATACACCTGTACACTGTTTACCTGTAAACATTAATTATACACCTGTACACTGTTTACCTGTAAACATTAATTATACACCTGTTAACTGTTTACCTGTAAACATTAATTATACACCTGTACACTGTTTACCTTTAAACATTAATTATACACCTGTACACTGTTTACCTGTAAACATTAATTATACAAATGTACACTGTTTACCTGTAAATATTAAGTATACACCTCTAACCTTATTGTGTCCGATGCCAGCTGAACATCTATACCCTGTTACTCTGTAAACTTCAGCTCTCATGTCCTCTGCTATCTTAGCCCCTGCTGCCAAGCGCCGGTTAGCCTCACTAAATTCTTGACCATCATAAACAGATGTTAACCAGTCCTCTACTGCCTTTTCTCGGACACCTGTATCACGAAAATATTTCTTTGTTTACAAATATCAGATTGAACCAAGTAGAAGAAAAGTTTTATCAAATATTATCTTACCTTTTAGCTTATTTGATGGCAATGAACTTGTAAAAAGTCAATGAAAAGATTATACAGGTTTCAGTGATCCACTTTTGATATTGGTATAAAGATGCATGAAAATACTTGATGTTTGTACTTAAGCTTTGGAGCTAAATACAGATTCTGTGCAACGGAGATGTTTACAAATATGGGTTAACAAAATTAGCAAAGGATAAATGCTCTTTATGTATTACAGGAAGATCTACATGTGTAACAATCAGATATGGTCACCAATATCAAACTGACCATCACTGTCATTTCCAACAACGTAAGTGTTCGGGAGATCTGTGGCATTAATCATATCTGTGTGCTGAAGCAGTCTGTCAACCTCCTCAGTGAGGTCAATATATGCCTCATCCACACTGGCTCGTTCGACACATTGGCTGAACGTACTGAGTACTGTGATAACCTCTGCTCCCGCCTCTCGATATCTGTGGTACATGAAAATGTAGCTATAGCTGGGACAATCTTAGCATCAAAATCAGAACTGTGGTATAAAACAGAAGTTATTTTCTTTTTTATTTAATAATTAACATCATTCAAAGTCTCATAAAACTTGATCATATACTTGGGGTATTGGGTAACTTAACACATAAGGTGACAACGAAAATTTGAAAAAACACATGAAAATACAAGAGGCCCAGCGGGCCTGTATCGCTCACCTGGATCTTCATGACCAACAGTACTGTATCTGCATATGTTCCATGTTTAACACATTTGACCCCTGTGACCTTGATTATAGGTCAAAATCATTTCTTTTACTTTCTTGGACTTCATAAAAGGAACATACTGGCGAAATATAATTATTCTAGGCTTTTCGATATTTCAGAAGAAATTGCTTAAATTTTTTAACACATTTGACTCCTGTGACCCTGAAGATTGGTCAAGGTCATTTCTTTTAGCAAACTTTGTAGGACACCATAAGAGGAATATAGTAGCCTAATATAATGATTCTAGGCCATCCGGTATTTTGAAAGAAGTTGCTTAAAGTTTTTAACACATTTGACCTCTGTGACCTTGAATATGGGTGGAGGTTATTATTTTGTTTTTTCGCAAACTTTGTTGGGCTTCATCAAAGGAACCTTCCAGCCAAATATAATGATTCTAGGCCTTCTGGTATTTTGGAAGAAGTTGTTTAAAGGTTTTAACACATTTGACCTCTGAGACCTTGAATATGGGTGAAGGTCATTTCTTTTTGCAAGCTTTATTGAGCTTCATCAAAGGAACCTTCCAGCCAAATATGATAACTCTATGCCTTTCGGTATTTCTGAAGAAATTGTTTAAATGAAAAGTTGACGGACACCAGACGGATGACGGACGCTGTGCTATGGCATATGCTCACTTGGCCCTTTGGGCCAGTTGAGCTAATAAAGTGTAAAATGTATCTCAATGTACAATTGTGTACTACATTTGTTATGGGGATAACAACTCAAGGGTTAAGTGAGGAACCTTCCTTAAACTACTATAAAATGTAATTCCAGATAGCTGACCGACTAGATATATTGATGTGTTATTTGTGTACTACATTTTGTTTATATTACTTGGTAAGGTCAGCTTTGCCTCTGAGTTCCGGCACTCTAAACAAGTGGAGATCTGGACACTTTTTCCTCGCATCATCTCCCATCATTTGTCTGGTCACTCCAAAAGCCCTTGCCTCGTATCCCACTGCTATCAGTCTTAAACCAGAGAGAGAAACAATTTCTTTGGAGAGCGATACCATCAGGTGATTGATAACAACAGATATTGATATATTTAATTGTAGAACCATTCACAATCAGCTGTCTTACCTGTCTTTATATGGTACCATACACTATCAGCTGTCTTACCTGTCTTTATATAGTACGCTACACAATCAGCTGTCTTACCTGTCTTTATATGGTACCATAATACAGTATCAGCTGTCTTAACTGTCTTTATATGGTACGCTACACTATCAACTGTCTTACCTGTGTTTATATGGTACCATACACTATCAGCTTTCTTACCTATGTTTATATGGTACCATACACTATCACCAAGCTGTCTAACGTGTCTTTATATGGTACCATACACTATCAGCTGTCTGACCTGTCTTTATATGGTACCATACACTATCACCAAGCTGTCTGACCTGTCTTTATATGGTACCATACACTATCAGCTGTCTTACCTGTCTTTATATGGTACCATACACTATCAGCTGTCTTACCTGTCTTTATATGGTACCATACACTATCAACTATCTTACCTGTTTATATAATGTACCCTGCTGGTTCCATTTCCAGATGACCATCTTGCATTTTGACTATGAAAGTTTCCTTTTGCTATTTCCTGATAAGTTATGATGGATCTTTCTCAAATTTCATTTGTAGGTTTCCCTTCCTCCTAGTTGTGCCAGTTTGATTTTGAGACAAATAAGGAAAAAAAAATGGCTGACTTGCAGCCATATTGTATTTTGACCATGAAAAATTGTTGTCGATATTTCTCGAGAAGTACTTGATGTATCTTTCTCAAATTTCATATGTAGATTTCTCTTGGTCTCTTGTTAAGCCTCTTGATTTTGGGACTGATCAGAAAAACAAAATTGCTGACAGTCAACAATCTAGGATTTGGCAGTTTCAAGGTTACTTTCACTAATTCTAAAGATGAATTTTAAAGTTCCATATGATTAAGAGCAAAAACAGGAAAGAAGGGAAAAGATCCAACTTTTAAGAACAAATAAAGATCAAATAATGGTGTTTGACAATATTCTTCTGGGATCTCATTACAATTAACATGTAGTAATATAAAACATCAGAAAATGAATTAAACAAATATACAATATTATATAAACTTATAAATGGTTAGAAATACAAGGAAATGTATTATATCTGTGATGTATTTTCAAATCTCTCTATCTTTTATATATCCAAACAACTGCTGTACTTAATATAACCACCCATCATTTATATCTGCCAAACATCCTTCATCAAATTCTACCCACCACCCATCAACAATATCAACCCACCATCCATCATCAATACTTACCCACCACCCATCAACAATATCAACCCACCATCCATCATCAATACCTACCCACCACCCTTATCAATATCTATCCACCATCCTTTATCAATACTTACCCACCACCCTTCCATTTTTTGTACTGTGCTACAGCACATGGCTTTCCTTTATACTGAGGCTGGAGTTTCTGTTCTACTTGGACATAGAAACAGTCCATGTCGACCAGAGCCACAACTCTATTCATCTCTGCTTCAATGGAATCCATCATCATTTGCTGCAAAAGGAAATAAGGTAAAGGATATAATTTTGTATGTTGATCACAGTGTTACCAACCTCTAGTCTAAAAATATATTGTCATAGACATCAAATTCAAGAATGACAAGGTGTTTTAAAGGTTCATTAGTCAGGTAAAAAGATCTCATAACCAATTATATAGTATAGTTATCACATTTATGTATATTTATAATAGTTCTAGATCATGTTTGATCTTTTCTGGCCACTGTAAAATAGATCTAAAAACTAAATTTGAAACGTTGATTAAAAATGAAGAAACATTTCACAATTTGACCAGGTCAAGATATGTACAATATCATGGTGACCTTACGAAATCAGGTAGGGCGGCGATAATATATCAACTAGACATATGTTTTGCACTGTTACGTGTTTCGGAATGGCCATTTTGTCGAGCCGAATCACATAATCATAAACTACTGACATTCGTGACCCTGAACCACGATAATTTTGGTTGTTGTAATATGTCACGCTTCCAGTTACAGTAAAAAAAATATACTTAAACCATTCACCATAAATATTATGAGTATATATTTCAATGGCAAATCTGTGTATTTTTTTATTTATGTCAACCGTACTCCAAGATATTATGAAAAATCCAATCAACCCATACTCGGATGCCAGTGTTTTTGATAATCACATAAACACATCACGTCAAAGATTAAATAAAAAAAGTTGCGATTGTACCTCACCAATGACAAAGAGACAATAGATACCAGTAGATGTGTTTGTCTCTTCGTTCCTCGATTCGTTAAATTTCGCGGATAACGGCAGCGCGCATGTGTAGTGAAACTATCTTCCATCCAAAAAGAGTTCCGTTTATAAGTTGATGTGGTTTCTGAAAAAAGCCTAAAGTGATGGAGGTATTTGTTGCGTAACCGAAATCAAAGGCGAGACAGTTTTATAATCAATGTGCTCGATTATAATGAAATTTAGCCCTTTTTTAAAATTTCATTTGGTTTGAGGACAAATCCGTTGTGTATTTTGGAACGACTATTTTGTCGAGTCGTATCACAGAAATCATTAACCTGCGTGACCCTGCACCCGGATAATTTTAATTGCAGTAACATGTCACGCTTCCAAAAAGATTTCTTTTTATTAAATCCACTAATCATAAGATATTACGAGTAAATATTTTATTGGGAAATTTGTGTATTTTTTCTCAATACACATTTTACATGTCGTCTGCTTGACTAAATAACCCCTTTAATTCGAGTGAATGAAGATCGACCATGAATAATAGGCCATGCCTTCTTGCAGTTTTTGGATACGAAAGTCCAAACATGCACGTCTTTTTTGGGGGAAGTTTCAGATGAATTTTGAATTATTACATTTGGTGACTCATTTCTGATTTTAGTTAACTAGCGAGTTGCAGACCGCAAGATGAAAAATTTACTTTTATTTTGATTTTTCTTGTCTTCTAAATGCGATTATGATTGGAATAATTATTTTATGTAATACATCTGTACTTCTGGGTCGCTGCAAACTAACTCAAGCATCAGTGATTAAATGATGTCACCTGAAACGGATGTACAAACACATGTCTGATACACATGTTGATCATTTCAGGTGATCATGAGGGAATTTGAGGTGGCAGTTCATCAACATAGCATAGCTAGTGACCAGTGATTCTTAAGGGGTCTGAAACTAATGTGCCACATTATGATATGTATTACATTTTGATGAGCATTGTAATTCATTGTTGAATTATTAGAATGTTGGGAATGTTTTTCCTGATAGAATTGTAATTACGTTGAAATAAATAATGACCTCTGTTACAGAATGTCTATACAAATCTTTTTGAAAAATAAAACATAACCAAAATAAAATTCTTTTGTAACTAACAGTGTTAGTTTGAGATATAATCATTAATTCACCATATTAATATAATCACTACTGAGATTAAAAGGTTTCAGCCGAGATTTAAAATTTTGATGAAAACTGCTAGATTTAAAAAATACCAGTCAAGCACTATTCCTATATGCCCTGATAGCTGTCTATAAGCATTGGAAGTACTGGATATACATGGGTGAGAAATACAATGAGGTGACCAGTCATAGTTACTGATTATGTCTAATAAATTGTGGTGAAGAAGGCAGTCATTGCACAACTGATCCAGTTATTCTAGACTCACTACAGTAAAATGTTCTTGACTTAAACACTGGATATCACTCTGTATAAACCTTTAACCAATGGAATTTTAAATGAGGGGAATTAGCAGAACATCTGCATTGGAGGAAGCTAATTTCAGTGATAAACAATCGTACATGTCCGTACTTCTAGGATACATGGTCCTTATTACAACTACTGTCACAGTTGTGCTTTAATGTAATTATAAAACAGATGATAGCGATTTTGACATGTCAATTTGGGAGGTATAAAATTGTACTGTAACAGGTCCAAGTCGCCCAAGCATGTAATGCACATGAAGACCCATATTCATAGTTCTGTCATGTCTGTGTGTCAATGCACATAAACAAGATATCTATGCAGATGTATATATTGAGGATTAAATTGATAAAAGATTTTAATCCTGGCAACTAGTTAGCAGCGGTGATACACTGATGATATAACAACTCTAAAGAGAGAGAGGTGATACACTGATGATATAACAACTCTACAGAGAGAGAGGTGAATGATATAACAACTCTACAGAGAGGTGATACACTGATGATATAACAACTCTACAGAGAGAGGTGATACACTGATGATATAACAACTCTACAGAGAGAGGTGATACACTGATGATATAACAACTCTAAAGAGAGAGGTGATACACTGATGATATAACAACTCTACAGAGAAAGGTGATACACTGATGACATAAAAAGACTCCAGAGAGAGGTGATACACTGATGATCAAGGAAATCTACAGAGAGAGGTGATACACTGATGATATAACAACTCTACAGAGAGAGAGAGAGATGATACACTAATAATATAACAACTCTAAAGAGATAGGTGATCAACTAATGATATAACAACTCTACAGAGAGAGGTGATACACTGATGATATAACAATTCTACAGACAGAGAGATACACATGATATAACAACTCTACAGAGAGAGGTGATACACTGATGATATAACAACTCTACAGAGAGAGGTGATACACTGATGATATAACAACTCTACAGAGAGAGGTGATATACTGATGATATAACAACTCTACAGAGAGAGCTGGTACACTGATGATATAACAACTCTATAGAGAGAGGTGATACACTGATGATATTACAAAGAGAGAGAGGTGATACACTGATGATATAACAACTCTACAGAGAGAGAGGTAACACACTGATGATATAACAACTCTACAAAGAGAGGTAATACACTGATGATATAACAACTCTACAGAGAGAGAGGTGATACACTGATGATATAACAACTCTACAGAGAGAGGTGATACACTGATGATATAACAACTCAACAGAGAGAGGAGATACACTGATGATATAACAACTGATACTGATGAGAGAGAGAGTGATACACTGATGATATAACCACTCTACAGAGAGAGAGAGGTGATACAATGATGATATAACCACTCTACAGAGAGAGAGGTGATACAATGATGATATAACAACTCTACAGAGAGAGAGGTGATACACTGATGATATAATAACTCTACAGTGAGAGGTGATACACTGATGATATAAGAACTCTACAGAGAGAGAGGTGATACACTGATGATATAAAAACTCTACAGAGAGAGGTGATACACTGATGATATAACAACTCTACAGAGAGAGGTGATACACTGATGATATAACAACTCTACTGAGAGAGGTGATACACTGATGATATAACAACTCTACAGAGAGAGGTGATACACTGATGATATAACAACTCTACAGAGAGAGGTGATACACTGATGATATAACAACTCTAAAGAGAGAGAGGTGATACACTGATGATATAACAACTCTACAGAGAGAGAGGTAACACACTGATGATATAACAACTCTACAGAGAGAGGTGATACACTGATGATATAACAACTCTACAGAGAGAGGTGATACACTGATGATATAACAACTCTACAGAGAGAGGTGATACACTGATGATATAACAACTGTACAGAGAGAGGTGATACACTGATGATATAACAACTCTACAGAGAGAGGTGATACACTGATGATATAACAACTCTAGAAAGAGAGGTGATACACTGATGAAATAAAAAGTCTACAGAGAGAGGTGATACACTGATGATATAACAACTCAAAAGAGAGAGGTGATCAACTAATAATATTACAACTCAACGGAGAGAGATGAACACTGACTCTACAGAGAGAGGTGATACAATGATGATATAACAACTCTACAGTGAGAGATGATACAATGATGATATAACAACTCTAGAGAGAGAGGTGATACACTGATGATATAACAACTCTACAGAGAGAGGTGATACACTGATGATATAACAACTCTACAGATAGAGGTGATACACTGATGATATAACAACTCTACAATGAGAACTGATACACTGATGATATAACAACTCTACAGAGAGAGAGAGAGATGATACACTGATAATATAACAACTCTAAAGAGATAGGTGATCAACTAATGATATAACAACTCTACAGAGAGAGGTGATACACTGATGATATAACAACTCTACAGAGAGAGAGGTGATACACTGATGATATAACAACTCTACAGAGAGAGGTGATACACTGATGATATAACAACTCTAGAGAGAGAGGTGATACACTGATGATATAACAACTCTAAAGAGAGAGGTGATACACTGATGATATACGAACTCTACAGAGAGAGGTGATACACTGATGATATAACAACTCTACAGAGAGAGAGGTAATGCACTAATGATATAACAACTCTACAGAGAGAGGTGACAAACTGATGATATAACAACTCTACAGAGAGAGAGGTAATACACTGATGATATAACAACTCTACAGAGAGAGGTGATACGCTGAT